AGCGGTCCGAGTGTCACGACGGAATTCCTGCTACCCACACGTCTAATTAAGAGTCTATTGGCAATTTCAGTGACAGCCTCATGTGGGAAGGATAATATTCTCGGTGGGAAGGCATGACAGTAGTATCCTTGCTGTCTTTATTGGACAGGCTTATTTATGCACATATAAAGGAAAATTAGGATAATTGCAAGACATACCACATCTCTGGCATGCAGTTGACTACCACAGACAATAATTCCTGTCTCTTATTGTGTTTAAACAAACATGAAATGGGTTTGGTCTCAGTGTATATCCAATGAACCCATATAGGAATCTGATATATGGCAATGTATGTGGACCACTAATTAAATATATAAGCTCATATTTACATTTCACAGATGTAAAAAAAAGTCTTAAACGTGCATACTTTACACATAAGCAAAATATATCTAAAAATATCACAAAAGTGGTCACCTTTATATATGTAACATTTATTTCCTCATACAGTGGAACTCTTTATTAGCCCTCCTCTATATTTTTTCCTAAATTGTGAAAGATTTTAAACACATTTCTAAACAAAATCTTTCAAGATACTAGTATTCAGCTTGATGTGAAATTTAAAGGCTTAAATAAGGTTAATTCAGTTAATTAAGTTAGATGATAAGGCAAATGATATGAAGATGGTTTCTTCTGTAGACAATCGAAAAAAAGAAATTGCTTAAAGGAGCTAATCATTCATTCATTCATTCATTCATTTTCGGCTTATAGTCCCTTTATTAATCTGGGGTCGCCACAGCAGAATGAACCGCCAACTTATCCAGCACATGTTTTACGCAGCAGATGCCCTTCCTGCCACAACCCATCCCTGGGAAACATCCATACACACTCATTTTTTTTTTTTTTTATGAAAATGGCTTTTATTCTAGTTAAAATCAAACAAATAAGACTTTCTGCAACAACAACAAAGAAAATATATAGAGAATACAGTGAAAAATCCCTTGCTCTGTTATACATCATTTGTAAAATATTTGCAAAAGAAAAGAAAAAAATCACAGGAGGCCTATTAATTTTGACTTTAACTGTTTATAACCTGTAGAATAAATATTCATACATGGCTATGTGCTTGTTAAGTGTGACGTCACGCGAAGCGGCTTCCGGGTCCAAGCGCTCTATTCAACTGTATGGGGAGACTCATGAAATAGTAATTATAAACGTTTACAAAGCAAATTAATACTTTCGAAAATCACGATCGCAACATATATATGTCCATGCCTAATATCCGATGGCCAGAAAGTGATTCATTTTTTATAAATTGTAAAGATTTTGGTATTTCTGATGCAGCAAGCTCAGAGATTGTTGTGTAGACTTTATATAAAATTAACTTTAATATGTGATATGAATTAAAAGTTATCATAAACAAATAATTTCTCAACTCAAATGAGCGGCGGCTTGGACCCGGAAACAGCATTACATACGTCACTAACACGTCATCACTTAACAAGCGGATAGGATGTTTATCCTTTTATTTAATATGCATAATTAAATTAGAAAATGCAGAGAAAACTCACGTAGACAGGGAGAACATGGAAACTCCATAAAAAAATGCCTCCTGGTCTAGCCAGAACTCACACCAGTAAAATTTTTGCTGTGAGGCAACTAAGCTAACCACTTAGCTTTCAATTTTCTTTAAATAAATGATCATTGGAATTAGACAACAGAACTAACATCCGGATCAGACAGATTCAAAGGGACAATTTTTTTATAGTCATCATATTTGTTCAAATACATTAACTATTAAACGATTAGAATTACAAATATGTACATACATGCTAAATATATTAACTATCATTCATTCATTTATTCATTTTCTTAGTCCAATTATTAATATGGGGTTGCCACAGCAGAATGAACGGCCAACTTTTCCAGCATGTTTCCACATGTATCCGAAACACTCATTCACACACATACACTATAGACAATTTAGCTTACCCAATTTACCAATAGCACATGTCTTTGGACTTGTGGGGGAAACCAAAGCACCCAGAGGAAACACACGTGAGAACATGCATATGCAAGAACATGCAAACTCCACACAGAAATGCCAACTGACCTTGCCGAGCTGCTTGCTGTGAGGCGAACATGCTATGCCCACTGTGCAGCCCATATTAACTGTCAATTCATTCAAATTTTGAAATATGAACATATTTGTTCACATATATTAACTGTTATATAGTATTTATGTTCATAAACATTGCCATCAGAAAGTTAACAATCAAACTGATTAAAAAGCACTGGGGTCTTGGTGCTCCAAAGACATGCGCTATAAATGGGTAAGTTAAATTGTCCGTAATGCATGAGTGTGAATGAGTGTGTATGGATGTTTCCCAGTGATGGGTTGTAGTTGGAAAGGCATCCGCTGCGTAAAACATATGCCGGATAAGTTGGCAGTTCATTCTGCTTTGGCGACCCCAGATTAATAAAGAGACAAAGCTGAAAAAAAAAAGAAAATTATTGAATGAATGAATGAATGAATGAATGAATGATTAGGTCTATGCAATGCAACATTAGTCGCCATTTTGTTCTTTGACTCTTGACAGGCTGAAAATTTGAAAAATGTGTAATATTACAAAGTTTGACATTGTAATTGTATTGTAAAATATAATATAAAATATTGTAAAATAAAAGTTAAATTTACTTAAAATGAATTCACATTTTTGTAATAAATGCCTTTGTGAAACAAACGCTTCATTGCTGCTTTTAGAAGATAACCCAAATTTCAGTCTTGTGCCTTTTATAATGGTTGGCTTAAAGTCCAGTTTTTCCAATACCTGTTTCAAGTGTGTGCTGCTCTTGACACTGGTTTATTGTTTTGTTAATTAGTGTTGTAATTGGGTGTTCTTGATTAGTCTTGTTATCTTGTTTGGCTTAGGACCAACAACAAATGGTAGGAGTAAACAGGATCTGAAAGCACAGCCCTTTTTAGACATAACTAAATAAAATATATTAACCAGAAAAAAAAAAAAAAAATCTGACACAATTAGACATTATTTCCAAATCCTCTGTCCTGCTTTCTTCACAAATCTACAGTGTAGATTTTTTTGAGTGGGTCATGACAAAATATAGCCAAAGCTATAAAGCACTAAAATTCAGTGAAAGGCTAGTTAGCTGCAATCATTTTGAAAACCTTATAATGTGTTTTCACCTTATAGTAAGAGATGACTTTATCATTCACAAATCACAAACCTGCACTTTTCTTTTCTTACAAATTCCTTTCTCATATTGTAAGACTGAGATTTTTGTGTATGTGTGTGTGTCATGACAGCCAAAGCTAAAATTAAGCACAAAAGTTCAATGGAAGGCTAGCTGATTTTAGCCCCGATTTTGACTCGCCAAAAGGTATTAGGAAATCACAGACAAATGCCTGCAATCACAGGCAAACCGGTGCTCATTCCTGCGAGTAACAATCACACTGTGTTAGCTATCAAAGATGCGATCTGAGAGAATTGCCGATAAGTCGCCGACACCCTTGAGATAATTGGCATGCTAAATATCTGGACCAGTCGGCGATTCAAATCATGCCATGTGAAATGTGTTTTGATTGAAAATAATATCGCCGATTACCTACAGCCAATCAGAGAGCAGCATCAATCAGTATGGGTATCTGCAGGCCAGTGAGAGATTGGGGGAGAAGTTAAAAGCGCTTCTTCTCAATCTATTTGGACACAAGAAATAGAGGGAAAACTAGTGAAAATTTGACTGGAACACTCGTGTCTGTTTGATATGTCATCGGATCAATATCTCAACCGGGTCAAAAAAGAAAATAATTGAGGAGAGATTGCAAATTCTATTCAAAATCTAGCTGAGCAAAATGAGTAAATTTTCTACCCCAATAAAGGCTTCTATCTCATAATGTAGTTAATATTAAATGATATACTACGTGACCTGCTGTTGTTTCCATGTCACATCTCTTGTGTGTTTGCTTGTGAAGCTGCTTTGACACAATCTATATTGTAAAAGCTCTATAGAAATAAAGATGAATTCAATTGAATATAGTTTCCAGACCGAGACAAAGTTGTAGACTATTCTTCCTACTGTTGTCGATCCATCCAACAGTGTAAACAAAGCAGTGACGAAACACTACCCCAGATAAACATGCAGTGTGAAAACATCTGTGACACAACTTCTTTGAAAATGATGTAGTCTGAATTCAGCATTAGTTTGACTTTAGTGTTCACAAATCAAAAACCCTTAACTTTTTTATTTCTTACAAATGCATTTCTCATAGCTACTGTAAGACTGTGATTTTTATTTTTGTTGTGTGTCATGACAGCCATGGCTAAAGTGCTAAAATGTAGTGGAAGAATAGTTAGTTTTTTTATCTTTCACAAATCACAAACACAAATGCATTTTCATACTGTAAGACTGTGAAGACTCACAAATGTCTTTAGTAATAATAATGATAATCTTTAGTCACAATAATTCCGACTATGTCTTGTAATTGCAACTTTTTATTCCTTGCAAATGTGTCAGTTTGTTATACAGCGGTCCCTCATTAATCGCAGGAGTTAAGTTCTAAAAATAGCCCGCAATAGGTGCAATCCATAAAGTAGTCCGCTTTACGTTTTTACGATTATTACAGATGTTTCAAGGCTGTAAATCCCCTCACTACACTCTTTGTAAACATTTCTCAAATAGGCATAAACATTTTCACACTTTTCTCTCTTCTTTAAACACTCGCGTAACTTCGACCTTCCTTTAGCATGCCCAGAAGTCCAACTTTTTGTGCGATGGTTTGCATTTTCCTTTGCTTTTTGGGTGCTACCATGGGTAAAAGCATGTCAAATTGCACAAAAAAATCTGCGAAACCGCAAAAGGTGAACCTTGTTATGGTGAGGGACCACTGTATTGCAATTGTGAGTTTCCCATTATAAGGACTTTAAATCTCAAAATCACTTGGGAAATTCCACAATTTCACAGTTGTTAGTTAAGACTAACCTTGATTTTTGTTTTGCCTCCACCAGGTCCTCCATACATTGTGACACCACCTGAAAACATCACTGTTAACATATCCCAGAATGCCCAATTCACGTGCCAAGCAGAGGCGTATCCTGGCAACCTGACCTACACCTGGTACTGGGAGGAGGACAACGTCTACTTTAAAAAGTAAAGTTATGAACGAGTTCACTCTTGTGCTAAGTCTTAGAAAACCTGCGCGTCTGCCACATTCATGCGGCTTTAGATTAAAGCCCTGTGTATTTTTAGACCCCGAATCCTTGAATCTCCAGGCCTCTACAGCTGCGTTAAGGCAAATGCTAGCGCAGTGACGTGGAGGCACACACAGCAGGTTTTTATGCCGGGATGGGAACATCTTGTGACACTGTGCTTGTGTCATCACATGCCTAAAAAAACATGCTGATCATCTGAAGCCGAGCCAGGAGCTGTTCTGACTCCCCTAAGCTTGGCCGTATTGACCTCCTGTACGCAGGGATATAGTCTGTTCCTCTCTGTGGAAACAGGCCAGAAAAGTGTTGCGAAATAACGCTTTCCGCTAACTATTGACCTGTGGGGGCCGGACGGATGGTCATGGGAATATCCAGACTGCTGGCCAACATACCACTTTGTGTAAAAAAATATTGGACACTGATGTTTGAAAAATTGAACAGAAGAATCAACATTTTATTTTGTTTTTCTTAAGGCACATAGAGTACATCTTAATCAAGGGGCTTCAAAAGGGGCAATGAGTGTTACTGCTTGGGGATCTTGATGATGTCTTGATGAATTTAAAAAGGTTAAAGGAAAAGTGCAATGTAAAATTTATATGACCAAATATAAGAAGCTAGAGATTGAGCTAAATGCCAGTTCCCACCAGCCATATTAAAAGTTACAATGAATTTAAAGTATTACCATAAAACAGGTCATTCAAAAAGAAAAGAAAAGAAAGAGAAAAAAAACTTACCTCAAATAAATCTTTATATTAAGAATATGTGATCTCTCACATGTACTGTACACTGACTGGCCACTTTATTAGGTACTTTACTAGTACCGGGCTGGACCCCCTTTTGCCTTCAGAAATACCTTAATCCTTTGTGGCAAAATTCAACAAGGTAGTTGAAATATTCCTCAGAGATTTTAGTCCATATTGTGGCGTTGACACAATGCTCAATTGGTACTAATGGGCCAAGAAAATACCCCCGACACCACCACCACCACCACCACCACCACCAGCCTGAACCATTGATACAAGGCAGGACCACTGCCACGCCCACAGAACTGCCACTCACTGGATACTTTCCCTTTTTCCTTTTTCGGACAATTGTCTGTAAACCCTATGGTTGTGCGTGAAAATCTCAGTAGATCAGCAGTTTCTAAAATACTCAGACCAGCTTGTCTGGCATCAACAACCATGCCAGGTTCAAAGTCACTTAAATTACCTTTCTCCCCCATTCTGATGCTCGGTTTGAACTGCAGCCGATTGTCTCAACCATGTCTACATGCCTAAATGCATTGAGTTGCTGCTATGTGACTGACTGATTAGAAATTTGTGTTAACGAGCTGTTGAACTGGTGTACCTAATAAAGTGGCCGGTGAGTGTATTTCAGAATTGTTAAAAAATAAATCTAATTCCTTAATCATTTTAACATTATTCACATTTAAGCAATTATTATTCATATTTTTTATTTGTATTACTTTGAAATGTGTCTGTTTCTAATAATTTTCTCTCTCATAATTGTGTATTTAATATGTTTAGTAAGTTATAATTTCCTCACAAAACTGTGACTTTGTATTGAACATTTTTTCTTCCCGTAATTGCAACTAATGGCTTAATTATAATTGTTATAGAAAAATTGTGACTTATTTATAATAGCTGTTCTTAACCTACAATTATGACCTCCTCTCACAATTGCAGATTTACATAAAAAAATGTTAAAACTAACAAAAAAGTCCATAATTGCACACCTAAATTTACTCTTGATTGTGATTTTGTTACCATTTTTTGTCTAAAACTATAATAACACCTATATTGTTGTACAAACACATTTACTGTTTTGGCATTATTCAAACAGGCCATCTCTCTTCTCTTCTGTGCAGTGATCTGAAGCTTCGTGTGCGCATCTTCATTGACGGAACCCTCATTATCTACAGAGTGAAGCCAGAGGATGCTGGGAAATACACCTGCAGCCCCAGTAACAGCCTGGGCATCTCCCCCTCCGCTTCAGCTTACCTGACCGTGCAATGTGAGTTTCACCTCCAACCTCTTGTTGTTGGCTTTCCATCACTCTTTGTTAATGTAGATTTTGAAGCTTCGCATGAGAAACGAGTTGACAATGACCAAATGACAAATTTGTCATGAAATGACAAATTTCCAATAATGTTTTTTAAGCTTGAAAAGCGTGAAAAAGAGTTAAAGGTGCAGTAGGTGATCTGCAAAAATGCTAACCAGTTAGCATAATATCTTTGAAACACAGTCCCTCCCCTGCTGTCTAAAGCCACGCCTCCTGAAACACAAATGCGCTCATTAAAAATGACAGTAGACAATCCATTCGATCATGTCATTCGCCAGTTAGAAAACGTTACAGTACTTTATATTATATTTATATTATATCTAGCATGTTTACAGTTATGTAGCAAGAAAAACTTTTCATAATGTAAAATATTTCATGCATGCAAGGGTTGCTGGTCAAACTCTCTCGTGCTTGTCCTAAAGCAACTACTATATGCTTAGTGGTTGGCCGGCGGCGTGCAGGAATTATACTTCTTACTAAGCCAAACTTACATTGCTATTTCAGACTTAATATTTAAAGTAGCACGGTAAACATTATAGGAAGCGTGTCACAGGTTGTCATTATTCAACCAATGTGAATATAAAACCAACTTCACCTCAGTAAAGCAGGCTAGGCAGAACAGCGCTATTTACTCTGTAATCGGTTCCTTTTGAAATTGAAAAAAGCCACTGAAATCTTCCGCTGAAAGACTGATGTGACGAAACAACACCTTCATGCATATAACCCATTCATAAAACAACACAATCTACATCAGCTTTGCGTGACTAAAACAGTTTCGAAAATTATAACATTACCTGTCTAAAATAAATACTTCAGCCATGGTGTCGTCCTTCCTGCAGCATGCTAAAGTAACTCCAAAACTGGAGTACGCTGTCATCATCATCAACCTGCAGACTGCATTTTGCTCATGGGGCTGCAAAAAAATAAATAAAAAGAGTGGAGCTGCGACAAATAATGAATAAAAAGAGTGTGGCTATGGTCAAATAAATAAATAAATGAAAAAAGTGTGACTGCTGAGAGTGCAAGCAGCTAGGGACACCAGCCCTCACGGCCAAAAAAAAAACTGCCGGCCAACCGGGAACTCTCCCGGTCCTCCCGAATAGCCAATCAGGGACTGCATGTGCAGATGTACAAATCTACATTTGTTGAGAGAGAGTTTGGGCTACTTATAAGAATTGTGAAAATTGTTTGCCCGACAATTTTCCAATACTTTTGGAATATGAAGAGACTTTTAACCAGCACAATAAAAACTTTTCTCAAGACAATCACCAACTGCATCTTTAATGTGAATAGGAGATACTAAAAGGAAGTACATTTGCCGAATAAATGAATTCAAACTTTACATCTAGATCAGAGGTGGCCAACCCTGTTCTTGGAGAGCCACCTTCCTGAAGAATTCAGATGGTACCCATTTCAAAAACACCTGAACCAATTACTTAGGACCTGAACACCACGTGATAATTACAGGCAGGTGTGTTTGATATGGGTTGCAACTGAAATCTGCAGGAAGGTGGCTCTCCAGGAACAGGGTTGGCCACCCCTGATCTAGATGATTAATCAGCTGTCTCCATCATGCTTGCCTTGTTTACTGTTGGTTACTAGGTTATCAATACCTAGGGTTTTATGCACTTATCAATTTGGAGTTTTTAATTTTGTTTTGTATAAAGTGTTTTTTTTTACAGTCTAATGAAAATAATGCAGTATATTACTTAAAGGTTTCTTTTGTTACGTTTTCTCAATTTGTGTCTGTAAATCTCAATTACAATACTTATTGTTAAGACTATTTTTCAAAATTAGTTTTTATCCCTTCTGCATAAATATCTCCTTCAGCTGCCAATGGAGTACAGTACAATAATCTCAATTTTAATCATCTCTGTATACTGAAGCTTTATATATACAGGTTAATATGTTCGAGCGTAATCACCTGATTATAGACAATTTTATACAAAGCATTTTATATTTTACAAAAAGAAAAGAAAAACATGACTCTTTGCTGTATATTCTGATTTAAAAAAAGATAGTCAGATTCACAGAATCCGTTCTCCAACTTTGCCTCTACATGTAAAAAAAAAACAAAACTTCAGAATGTTCAGATATTTCTGGTAGAAATATATTAATTAATAATATACAATAATTAATATATAATATATTTCTAATATATAATTAATATATATTAGAAATATATTAATCAGTGCATATAATTAAAATTGTACATTTGTATAATTAATTAACAATTTAGAAACCTTTTTTGCAATTCTTCAACTTAATCAATCTGCAACGGCAATGATAACAATTAGTTATTTTTACCTCTACTCACCTGCATTGTCTTGCCATAAACAGCCGGCACAACCAACCAGGCCTGCATCTCAGTCACTGTCCTGTGTGTCTTTGAGGTGTTTTATGTCAAGTATGCCATCATCAGAGTGGGTAATTGGTATCTGTCATGTACAGGGACAGAGCTATTTACACTCTTTGAGATGGTGTGGTGGCTGGCAGGCATCTGAGATGTTCTAGTTGCCGCCTCTCTCTAGAGGGTTTGAGATCTAAGCTGCCTCTCTGTGTCTGTCGGTCTGTCTCTGCACTGAGGACAGATTGGAGGAGCCTTTCTTCCTGTGGTCACTTTAAAAAGCTAGAATCTTGACAGCTGTAAAGGATGAGACATTATAGCACAGCAAATGTGTGACCACATATCATTTGACCCTGTACCACAAAACCAATAGTAAATGTATATTATTTTTTTTAATTTTGATTTATGCACCATATTAAATCTGGATGACTAAGCTTAATCCATTGGTGTATGGTTTCTTATTGGACAACATTTGGCCAAGATACAACTATTTGAAAACTAGCAATGTGAGGGTTCAATAAATAAATAAATACCCAGATATCATATGAATGTGGGCAACTTTAGGTAGTTATTCAGCACTGGTGGTTTTCCTTTGGCCATGACAAAATGAATGTGAACCTAAAGTGGCTCACCTGTAGAATGGCAAAAGGGGGTCAATGATTCCAATTCATATATGGGCCAGTTAAGGCAAATAGCTGACCCTTATGGCAAAATGTAATCTTGAGTCTAATGTGGCCGATGTGGAAAATGGAAAATTTGGCTCAAATGATGGAGGACAAATGTGGGCCACAGTTGACAAAATGCGTAATACTAATGCGGCTGTGAGCCTAAAGTGGCCCAGAAAAAATATGGCAAATGTGGCCCAGTCATTTTAAAACATATGATGGCCACTTTTGGCGAATATTTGGCGCAGTAAACTCTGGCTAATGTGGCTGTTAGCCTATAGTGGCTCAGAGAAAATACAGAAAATGTGGCCCAGTTATCTTTAAAAAAATATGTGGACATTTTTTGATGAATATTCGGCAGAGTAGGCTTTGGCTATTGGTGATTTGAGCCTAAAGTGGCCCAGAGAAAATATGGCAAATGTGGCCCAGTTATCTTAAAACATATGTGGACCACTTTTAGTGAATATCTGGCACAGTAAACTCTGGCTAATATGGCTGTTAATAGGGTCATTTCTGGATCACTTGGTTGAATTCTGGCTGATATGTGGTATTGCTATGGTGTATTTGTGGCCCAGATCTGACAAACTGGAACAGACCACCCTATAGCCATCATTCCATTCAGTATGTGGTCCAGATGTAAGTGTCTGGTGTGGGGCAGATCTGAGCCAGAATAAAAGCAAACTGTGGCCAATAATAGGGCCAGTTTTGGTTAATTTGTTTGAATTTTGGCCCAGATCTGGCAATCAGGAGCCGACCGTCCAAGTGCCATCATTCCATGCGGTATGTAGGCTGGATGTAATTGTCTGGTGTGGGCCGGATTTGAGCCACATGAAGAAATTTGCCTTTAAAAGTTTTCTAAATTGAGTTTATAGCAATGCACATTACTAATCAAAAATTACTATTCAGATCTGTTGAACTTTGCCATACAAAAACAATCAATGATTTTGACACTTACAATAAGTTTCTGGGTATTGCATATGTTAGGTCACATATGTTAGTATATAACATATACTGTTAGTACTGTTAATACAATTAATATTATTTAATTTAATTACTACAATAAATAATATTAGTTAAATGAAATTAGCTAATGATTAGCTAATACAATTAGTTAAAAAGGTAGCCTATATAATATCAAAGTATACTTTATTTAGCAACTTTTTTCTGTAGATTCTGGTTTTAATAAAAACTATACTGGCTTACAGCAACATAAAAACATCTGAAGCAAACAGTGCTTGTTGCTAAAGGATGAAAATGCAAGGCGTAGTGAAAATGTGTATCGTCATTTGTAATACAAATCTTCAGATGAAAATGGAGTAAAAAAGATTGCTTGTTTCTCTGAATTTACCACCCAGTACAGTATTTAACTGTGACCCAATATATCATTGCAGTAGAAAAGAGGTCAGGGGTGACCGGACGGCCTTAATGAATGAACTGGGGGGAAATGTAGCAGCGTAGTGTAAAGAGAGAAGCGATTATCTGTGGAAAAGCACATTATATCGTGTCATATGCAGAGCTGTGGCTGGCTGTCTCATTAGCAGGCGCTCCTCTGTGCCGTTGGGGTTGTGCTACATCAGTCAGCGACACCTCAGGGCTGCTGCAGGTGAGAGAACTTCACAGGAAAGGCTTTAAATAACACTTACATCTTCCGTTACAACACATCACTTACACAGCCTCCCAAACACTGTGATTTTGCAGCAAATATTTATATTCTATACCTTGTATTACTTTTTTTGTGGGGTGTCAAAATTGATTTAAGTTTACAGTCATCTTGAAATCAACATGCTTTCTTTTTGGCTGAAAACTAGACATCTGTTAAAAGGATAGTCCATCCAAAAATGTGTGAATGGGTGTACTCACTCTAGTCACGGTTGCTTTATACTGTGCCAGAGCATGATAGTCCCCTCTCTGCTTCCTTTCTGGCTTGCACTCACAATGCATTTTACTTCCAGTTCTAAGCACTCATACGTCATTATGATGCAACTGTTTTGAAGAAACTTTGATGAAATTCGTTCTTACTCAGCACAATAGAATCAATTATTTCAGTTCTGTGACAAAATGTTTTCAGTTCTGTGCTATTATGCAGTACAGAGTCCTACAGATCAGTGCCCCATTGCAGCTCTTTTGTGTGTACTTATTCTAGGCAAATTGAAATGACCCCCAATGCCTGGTGTGATTTTTGCTGTCATACAAGCTCCTGATTATATTTAAACATGCAACAAAAAAAAGGAAGATTGAGATTTTTGGGCAGTTAAATGAGCCGACTTGACGATCTATCTAAAGTTTACCAAGCAGGAGGACAAACTCACCGAATAGCAAACATGGTATGATGTGTCATGCATGAAGCACGGTTCCAGAAAAAAAAAAAGATAAAAGTAAAGTAAGATTTAAATAAATCTAGGAGGTGACTGCAGTTCGCTTGGTAGGGTTGACAAAAGTTTTAACTTTGTTAGTAACAATCGGTACTGAAATTTAAACAAAATGTCCGTTTCCCGCTAACCTTTTTCAGCCATTGTGTTCACATGCTCAACAGATATGACTGTGATTGGCCACGAAGGTCATCGGTTTACCACTCTTTACCGCTGTTTACCAAGTGCAAACACAGATACACAAACACTGCCCTTATAGCAAAATTTCTCTGGCCCAGATCTGGCCCACATGTTGCAGTAAATTATGATACATGATTGGACAAATTCTGGCTTCCATACAAGGTCCAAACATGGACCATATCTGGGCCAAGTTTCAGCCAAGTTAATAACCCATAACTGGGCCTAAACTGGGCCAAATATGTTGGTGTCATAACTGCAATGAATTTGAACAACCCATGAAGCATTTTGCAAACAGATTGGTAGAATTTATTCTTTGCTTAAATTTTTTTTAAATGTACTTTGTCAAGATAGGACCCACATATACATTTTTACCATCTAGGCTAAATACTAAATATGCTATCTGGCCCTAGTCTTGTGTGCCGCCTTAAAGAGGTGCTGCCCTGAAGAGGTGCCACCTCGTCAAAACCCGGGCCATGTTTGGCCCACATGCTGTATGTCAGCGCCGTATGAATGCCTGTTGTGCCAGGCATTATGTCAAATCCATATGTAGGCCATAACTCTTTGCTACCTGTGTGGATTGCTTCAATGCCGCATTAATCAGTTGATCCATCAGCGAATCACTCTTATGTAAGCTCATAGACAGAGCAGCTGATCGACACAGCTTTCAAACACTCCAGTGTCCATGTATCTGTGTTTGTTAGCAGGAAATGGCCTGTTTAAAAATAAAATTTCAGCAGCGTTTGGTACTGAACTTGTTATTTTTGACAACCGTAAAGTTTGATTATGAGAACAGTTTTAGTTGGGTTGAGATCAGTCATTCACTAGATTATCTATACAACAAGCCCCATCTTCTTGTGGATGTGATCTAAAACATACAACAAAACAAACCCTAAATAATGTATTTCAGATTAGCACAAACAAACAGAGCATCCTCTACTGGATTTGTCACATAAAACATGCAACAAAACATACCCAGATCGGCATATTTTACATTTCACACAAATGTAGGCTGAGACATGTATGAATCTTGGATGTTTATTCCCTAAGTTCTTCATTCTTGTTCGAATCATACTCTCTCTACAGACCCTGCCCGTGTTGTGAACATGCCACCTGTCATCTATGTCCCAAGAAAGTTGTCAGGAATCATTCGCTGCCCAGTGGATGCCAACCCCCCTGTTACGTCAGTCAGATGGGAGAAAGATGGGTACCCCCTCAGAATTGAGAAGGTCTGAAATGAGTGTATTTTTGAAGTCTGAAAGGTCAAGACTCTTAACTATTTGACAACCCTCCACATCACTGCTTTTCTCCCAGTATCCTGGATGGAGCCAAATGACAGATGGAAGCATTCGGGTGGCAGAGGTCACTGAAGACTCCCTTGGCACCTACACCTGTGTGCCTTACAATGTCCTAGGTACCATGGGACAGTCCCCTCCGGCCACTCTGGTGCTAAAGGTGAGTCAGTGCATCTTAACGAGATCATATCAGAAAGAAAGTTTGCGTTCTTAAATGTCTTCATGTGACCCCAGGACCCCCCTTACTTCAATGTGAGGCCCGGGGGGGAGTACCGTCAGGAGGCGGGAAGAGAGCTGGTTATCCCCTGTGCTGCTTCTGGAGACCCTGAGATTCCAACCATACAGTGGAGAAAGGTACAACAACCCAACACAAGTATGATATTTTTCAGCTATCCAAAGATTTACTGTTACTGTGCTTTGTCAAGGTTGGGAAGCCCAGCAGAAGTAAACACAACCTCTTACCAAGTGGTAGCTTACAGTTTGTCTCTTTGAGCAAAGAGGATCATGGGGAGTGGGAATGTGTTGCCACCAATGTCGTAACAAGCATCACTGCCAGCACACGCCTTTTTGTAATAGGTAAACGATATCTATCTATCTATCTATCTATCTATCTATCTATCTATCTATCTATCTATCTATCTATCTATCTATCTATCTATCTATCTATCTATCTATCATCTATCATCTATCTATCTATCTATCTATCTATCTATCTATCTATCTATCTATCTATCTATCTATCTATCTATCTATCTATCTATCTATCTATCTATATCTATCTATCTATCTATCTATCTATCTATCTATCTATCTAATCTGTCTGTCTGTCTGTCTGTCTGTCTGTCTGTCTGTCTTTCTGTCTGTCTATCTATCTATTTATCTGTCTATCTATATATCTATCTATATGAATGAATTAATTAATTACTTAATTTAATTACTGCATTATTTTCTGTTACGGACAGAAAGTATGTCGGATATGTGATTTTTCAACATTTGCCAGACAGGAAGGGTAGGCTAGGACATTACAATTCTCAGCCAAGTTGCACGAGTGAGTCATTACAGTAGGGGGGCTGTGTTGCTTGTCAGGACTCTAACTCTTTTTTCACGTCTGTGAGTTAGCCCTCGGATGACAAGTGATGTGTGAGCGGGCATACAACACACACACACACACACACACACACACACACACACACACACACACACACACGCACATAAGTTATTTGTTTGGTGATAGACTGGTGTCATGGCAGTCTGAAGATTATGCTTAATGAGTGAGCAATTAACAGAACCTCTGCAGCTGCTAGGTGCCGATAAGAGATGTGATGGAACTCCTGAATCCATCCTCCACTTCAGTGTCTTCATCGTTCGGCTCTCTCCTGCTATTATCAGACTGGGTCAGTCTATACTCACAGTTTGTTCATTATCTGGTCTGAAAACGTAAGTGAGAGGAGGTTCATAAATCTCTCCAGTCACATCTGAAAAGACTAAATCTATTCTGAAAAGTAGCTCGTTTGGACCTAAACCTTAAAGACTGACGCCCTATTCACACGGGGCTTCAGCGTTAACGCTTGACAGAGGGCGTGTCTGAAGTTGGAGCTGAAACGATTGTCATAGAAGCGTCAGCCAATGAAATTCAGTCAGCAATAGGCCACTGTCTGAGCTGGTGTATTTGCATACAGCGATCTGATTGGCTGACGCTTCCGTCGGCGCTTGAAAAGTTGAGCTGGTCCCAACTTCTGCAGCGAGGAACGCTTCTGAAGCGGCGCCGACGGATCCACAATGCAGTTCGGCAACGCCTGACGTCACCCATTCAAAGTGAATGGGAAGCGTTGACGCTGACGCCCCGTGTGAATAGGGCGTTAGAGGTAATTGCTAAGAATTGTGATTATAAATAGACAAAGTTCCTAGTCGTCTTCTCTAACAAGACCCTTCCACTTATAAGTGAATATGAATTTGTACCATTATACTAAGAATGACACATAATCGATTGTTTTACTAAATTTTAATTTACTAATGGCTTTTGTTAGGTGTGTGATTAATTTGTTGATATTAACACTCAATAGTTTCTGCCCGAGTACTGGAGGAACATAAAATATGATAACAATATTACCTTCTCTCTTCAAAACTCACCAAAGCAGTTATAGGGGCTTAGGAATAGTTGACAGGGCATTACTATGTGGTTTCAAGGATGTTTTTCTTTTTATTGGTGCAAATTTCTAGCTACGTAGAAGTGTGTCAGCTCAACAAGCTACATTATTTGAGGTTTCATTTATACATAGTACAAACAGTGTGGAAAACATAGTGTGGTACATTTTAATACTTGGCAATAGTGGTTTATTTAAACCTTTCAGATTATCAGTGTGGAAAACATAGTGTGGTACATTTTAATGGTAATAGCCATTAAAATGACCAATAGTAATAGCATTTGGAAACATCACCAATTAAAAATAACCCTGTTTCAGGCACTAGTCCACATGCGCCAACTAATGTCCACGTGTCAGCGTCCACAAGCTCTGCTAACGTTTCCTGGGAACCTGGATATGACGGAGGATTTGAACAGACGTTCTCGGTTTGGTACGGCCCGGTGTAAGTCATGCCAGAACCTGCATTTAATATAGCTCCTTCCTCAATTTTTTATAAATGTACTCGTGACTTGTTTTAGTCTTATTTTGTCATTGTGTAAAATCATTTTACTTATATGGATTGTAAATGGAGTAAACCAATATAACCATTTAAGCTCAAACACTACACAGACCCCCTAGTTTTTCACAATATTTTTTGTGATTTTTTGCGATAAAAATGACTGATTTTGTGGCGGAAATCTGCAGAAATTTGCGAACAATTTTGTGATTAAAAATATATATATAAATGTAAAAGAAATATGCGTACTAACTATATTAGGTAGCCTACTATGTTAGGTGTGCAATCTTAAACAATGACAATGACACAAATCTTAAAAATTAAAGATTTTTTTTTTTTTTGGTCTCATGACAAAATAAGATCTAAATCGGTATGAATTAAGCCAAAGGAAGGTTGTATTACTCTTATTTTTATCATATAATTTAATTTTTTTTCTTTATTTTTATCATAATATCAGCCATACATGTAAAGCACAAATAATGTCCTTCAATTCGGTCACATCCAGCGGCTGTCACCCTTGAATCAATCTCATCTCCACCTGTCTGTTCCATTGCTCTGTTTGCTCCCAACATTCTTTTGCAGCCTGAAGCACATCAAATGTACAAAACGGCCAATTCGCGCCACAAGATGTCTATATCTCTACTTTTCTATGACTTCGGATGTAAATCTCTTGCGCTTCACCGCGTCTACTTACAACACAAGCTGAAAACTTCCCCTGCCCCATACTGCATGTAATGTCATGATTGTGAGGGTGCAGGTGATAATATTGGGTTATACCACACAATTAAACACATAGTTTGCAAACTATACAAAATGAGTCAACAATTTTAATGACATTTACAAGTTATGATCTAGAGGAAGAAGAAACTGGTCCATATGAACTGTAAAAGTTACAGATTCAATCCCTGTCAAAGTCTGACAAAGTCCCATAGTCTCTGCTGCTCCTTCAATTGCAAACGGCCGATGAATCCCGTGTTGCAGCGTAGGTTATTGTATCAAAAATCAGAAAAATGACAAGAACAAACACAGCACTGGGTTGGCTATACTGTGGTATTGTTGTGAAAATGAGCTTTAATCCTTAATTACCCGCAGCCGAATCCCAATTTCTAAGTGATCGTCATCTTCACATCATGATCAGTCCCGTGATCCCCCACGCCTCCTCTAGTGTGTGGAGGGAATGCGCGTGCACAATTTAATGGAACTGGAAGTACATATTTGGTGATGTACTGTATCAAAGTCAATGCGAACAAACAAAAGATCCGAACCCAACTCGATTCATTTATTTAACTCTGAGTCAAATATTTCGCTAAAGAATCAATAGTTTTAAACATGCTGCACTTTTAAATTTAAACCTCAGCTGGATATTTTCATTCACTTAGAGCTGTGTTAGAGCTGTGCATGGAAGGTCATTTTCCAAAACCCATAATTGGGGCTCTTTAAATGCAAACTGAAATAAATAATTTGATTATATGATTTGGATTTAGATGTTTTATGAGAATATTTACATTTTTTTTTTTTTGCGATTATTTTGTGTTTAATTACGGATTTTGCAGGTTTGCAAAAATTTGCGACTTTTTGTTTATTTTTCGTTGGATTCAGAGATCGCGGAATCGTGAAAAACTAGAGGGTTTGACTATATTTCAAGAAATATGTGATTTAATAATCAATAGTTTTTAAAGAAGTTCAGAGTAATTATTGTAACAACTATGATTCTATTCCTTAATTTCACCCTAAAACTCTGATGTTTCAAAATGTTCATAACAAGATAAGTGGTTTTATCTTCATCTTCTGAAGAGACATGAACACTTTATCTGATGAACAGTTTTCAACTAAGATATAAAATCCATTGTTAATGCAACTTTTTGTTACAATCCAACAGAAAAGTGAAGAATGACGTAGGAACCCATGATTGGCTTTCCATACCTGTGCCCGGCTCTCAGATGTGGTTAGTGGTTCAGGGGTTGGAGCCAAAGACTGCCTATCAATTCAGTGTGCTGGCCCAGAACAAACTGGGCACCGGCCCCTTCAGTGAGGTAGTCACTGTGACTACAGGAGGCAAGTGATACTTTCATACAAATTATGCTGTGTATTGGACCTCTGAATGACCACTTCCCATCATTCCTTTGTCTTTCCTAGGGTACCCTATTAGTACCCCTGAACCACTGGTGCTTCTAACTCCACCACGGTGCCTCACAGCCAACCGGACACAGCAGGGTGTATTGTTAACATGGCTTCCTCCAGCCAATCACACTTCACCAATTGACCGATACGTCATCGAATTTCGTCTTGGAGAAAAGTGGGAGGTTCTGGATGACTTGATTCCTGCCACTGAGACTGAGATTATAGCAAGAGATCTTATTCAGGTATAACTGACTGTGTACTTATTATTATTACAAACATCCATGGAAAATGTACTCATTTAAATGTAGAGTAGACTGGAAATAATAACTCCCTTTGATAAATATTAGCTGAAGTAATATGAGAGAATTGCAGCGGGGTAAATGCCTTACAGCTGAAAAAGCTCTGAGGATGTCGTTTTAATTCAGTCTGACATACAGAAGAGTCTGCTGCAAATGATCTTGTTCCAAATATGTTGGTGGATCCAACACTTCAACCTGTTGGCCTCACAGGATTTGTGACCCACTGACCTGTTTCTCTGTCTCCCAGGACTCTTGGTATGAATTCCGAGCACTAGCTATAATGGATGATCTTGTCAGTGAGAGCAGTAATGTGGTGGGAGTGTCAAGCACAGGTGAGAATAAGGGGCGTCACTAAAATGCACCAATCCATTGCTTTAGCCACCTAGAGCTTCACTGCCCCCTGCTGCACATTGTAGTTAATGTCATACAGTATGCTTCTTTTATTTGCTGTGCACTGTAGATGTTGATAGAGAGTGTCATGCATTTATTTTTTTGGAGGGAGCATCAGTGGCAGCCCTTGCTAATTTTAACATCTCAGAACATCATGATTTCTTTGTGACAAATGAAAAACACTGAACTACATCAAATGAGTTTTAATTATCACATCTACAATATACTTAATTACTACAAATTTAACTCTGTGTTTGGAAGTTGCATTCAAAAATGAATTAAGTCAAAATATGGAAAGCCACATGCCCCCTCAATCTAAATATGCATGGTGCTTCTGATTAGATAGGCTGCAGTTGTGTTAACCCTACATAGTCTGCTTTATGATGCACACTAACTGAATGACAGTCTGTAATCATGCTAACCTGCTTTGTCAATACATGCTTGCTTTCTTCCATCCTAATTTCATGTTCTGGAGTGTGTCTCCTCTCTCAGACCCCTTCCCTCCCACAGAGATCTCAGACGAAGGGCTGGCCAAGCCAGTAGTGGCCGGCATCGTGGCCACCATCTGTTTCTTGGCAGCTGCCATCCTCTTCAGCACGCTTGCTGCATGTTTCGTCAACAAGCAACATCGTCGCAAGCTCAAACGCAAGCGAGGTGAGTCATACAAAACTGTTATTTCTGTTTTTTTCTGCATGACTGTCATTGCATATCACTATACAGTTATATTTAGAAAAATACTACCTTTATTTCAGTCGTGTTGAATATCACTAGCTTTAGCATTGCAGTGTTTACGATGAAGATCTGAAGAATATTGTCATGCTGTGGCATTGTGTGATTTTTCATTAGACCCACCACTATCGATTACGCACACAAGGAAAAGCATCGAATCTCCGTAAGTACCAGTGCATGGGAACATCCATCATACTTTGCACTTTTGCAAATCTGTTGACTACCGGGCACATGGCTTGAGGTAGAAAGCGAGAGAGCATGTTCAGTTTGGGAAATCAAACAGCTGACCCTAGCTGCTGTGTTACTGTGAGGGATGCATGGAGGAGGATTTCAGTGGTCACTAAAGTGGCTGCTATAAATGCATCTGTGCCTACCTCTGCTTTTCAGCAGCGAGATGCATTGATTTGCCGTTACAAGCAATCTTTTCAAGCTTTTTCTTTTTTTGCCGTCCAGTAAGATTTTGATAGAACCTTTCAATAGCACAAGAATATATTATAAACACAATGCTTATCCCCTGGCTCCTCTGAACTGTTCAGTGCAGGCATGGCAGCATGTCACTCACATTATACTAGAGCTTAAGGAAAAATAAATATTAAGGGTAGCACCTCCAACCCAGTTCAAACTGGGACTCATGCTCTTATCTGATTCCATTGCGGTCTTCATAGAGCTGCAGTCTCATGCTCCCATCCCACCCATTTCCACATAGCAGTGTGGAACCAAAGTCTGGTTGACGGCCGAATCTGCCCCGTCTCTATTGTGTTTTTGTCACCGCAGGCCTCCTCTTACCCCCTTGCCTGGCATTGAGCCCTACTGGGAAGAGCCAGACAGGAGCAGCTACAGGCCCCCATCCACCAGCCCTCAGTGAGTGCTTGCACCTGCATCTCTCTCTGCAGCAGGCGCAAGTAAGCGCCTGTCTGCTGTAGCTGCATGTTTTCAGTTAGTGTTCTGAAGCTAAAATGCTTCTGTGGGGGAACAGACAATCTCAGCCCACAGCTGCTCCCGATTTTGACATTTGTTTGACTGGGTGAAGATATAATTTAGCTGATCATCTTTATTTCACTGGTGCCTGTATTGACATGTGTTTCTATGTCCTTTTAATATCTATAATGTCTTATGCTGACATGTTGTTTGGTTGTACTAGTGTAGATGGCCTTCGAATGGCAGTCAGTGCTAAATGTAATCACTATTATGATGTGGATAAAGACAAATTACACCTAATTTTTTTGACAAAAAGCAGATAGAATACACAAGAAAAGGTTATATCATTACTTTATTTTGTATTACACGCGTCTTTTAGTGGTTCTAGTGGTTAGATTGTGCTGATTTTAAGATTTGTATTCCCCAGGGCTTACTTCTAAGTCCCGTGTCTTTTTTGATTGATAGGCTTTCCTCTGGGAAGATCAGTCCTGAGAGCATCGCTTCATCCCGGCCCCCATCTCTGGCCAGTGTGGGTGGTCATGGTCTTTACGTTAAGAAGTTGCCAAGCCCCAGGAAAGAGAAAGAGCTTTCCCTCTATAAGAAAACCAAGAGAGCAATAACCAGTAAGAAGTACAGCGTGTCCAAGCACGAGGCTGAGGTCACCACGCCCATCGAGCTGATCAGCCGTGGACCTGATGGCCGATTCGTCATGGACCCCAATGACATCGACTCATCCCTCAAGCCCAGACGCATTGAGGGTTTTCCTTTTGTGGAGGAATCAGACTTGTATCCTGAGTTCCGCCAATCAGATGAGGAGAATGATGACCCAGGGCCCCTACCCCCAGTCATGGCCACCCTCAGGCCCCAGATTTCCCCTGTGTCCTCCAGCCAGGAGTCCTACATGCAGCCCCCAGCCTACAGTCCCCGGTTCCAGAGGCCAATGGAAGGTATGAGCATCTCGGAGGGTAGTCGGCTTCAGGCCACAGGGCAGAGCCGGGTCTCCCATTTTCACAGGGTCTTCCCTCCAGGCCCCTTCTATGGCTATATAGGTAGTGGTGCTGAAGTGGAGCTTCACCCTCCGTTTTACATGCCTGATGTTAGCCCACGTAGCTCTGCCATGTCCTCCTCACCTTCATACCCCCCTGAGGGGCCGTTTCGCCATCCCACCATCCCAGAGGAGAGGGAGGAGCTGAGGATCCATCAGTATGGTGCCTCCGGCCACGCCCTCCCTCTGGTGCATAGCCCTCCCTCCTCTCGCTCGACCGAGATCTGGCAGCCTCCTGATTTCCCCTTTCTGGGTCAGGAGGGTCCCCGTCTCGCACTTCCACCTCGTCATTCCTCATATCTCCACCGGGACCTCCCCGAGCCCCCACCATACCCCTCCCATAGTCGCACAGTTAGCACCACCTCTCAGCTCCCTTCAAGCTCTGCTTTCCTCCAGCTGGAGGCCCCTAGAACCCACCTGAGCAGATCTCCCGGCAGGTTCCCGCCTCAGGGCCCTTCAGCCAAGCATATAACTATGCAACAGGCCCAGACTCTGGGGCAGTTGAGACACACTGCCCATGGTATGGGTGTACCAGTGTTGCCTTACTCAGGCGCCACGACCCGCATGGGGAGCCCAAGCACACTGCACAGTGAGAGCTCGGACGGCTGGAGGTCTGAGGCCCAGCCTTGGATGAGCCCCAGGGCAGCTCGAAAGATGGATCTCGGCCTGCAGCAAGTGGTCCTGCAGCCGTCACGACTCTCCCCTCTGACCCAGACACCTCCTAGCTCACATGCCGGCTCTCCAGACATTCTCGTCCGCCCTCCTCCCCGCCCCAGCATCCTGCGGTCTTCCCGCTCTCAAGAGATGCCCGAGAGTGCCCGTCACCCTGCCAGTGTCTCCTTCTCCCGAAGGTCTCTCTCCTCTTCCCCTGCCACTTCACCTACCCAAGGCCAGAGCGGCCAACGGCCAAGCCTCAGCTACCGTGCCCACATGGCCTTTGCCACAGCCGCGGCCAGCTACCCCTCCCAGTCCCCTTCACCCCCTGCGGAGAGCAGTGATGCTTTCGGCCAGATGCCATCTCAGAGAAGGACAGATGAGGAGATGCTCCCCTCAGAACCCTCTCCAGGGTAGGTGAACCGTACCATTGGAGGCTCCAAAATGACAAAGGAGACTGTTATTCATCATCTGTGCCACAAAAGCAATGCTTTCATGCTTTTGTGATTTTTGATAAAAATACTTTACATACATCTTACTATAAACTATTTACATATGCACAAATGCCCATGTCCTCCAGTATAACTCCTTATTGGGTTCACAGGATAAATTTCCATACCTTTTTTTATTTTCTTTAAATTCTATTCTCATTTAAACTTAAAGCAGTGTAATTTTAATATTGGAAATAATCATAGTGTATAACATTTTTCATAATTAAGGATTTTCTAGTGCATCCATGATGATCCCATGGCTCTTCCTTCTTTGTCCTCTTTTGTGGGCTGATCACATCACTCACCCTCTCCAGCTCATTTCCTTCCATTTCTCTCACTTCCTCTAACTCAGGGCTTTGACCATCATGGTGGCCTTCTTAGGCGGCCTTCGTTGCCAGGGATGAGTGTGCACTCATCTCTTGCAACACTCATTCTCATCTAAAGTAGAGACGGCGCATTTCTCTGGAGACTCTGGTAGCCTTACCCTCTTTGTTTTTGATTGATCTCAGCTATCTGGGCAGCATTGTTGTGACCAGGTCCTCTTCACCACAATAGGTAAGGGTCGAATCCATGTCTGAAAGGGGAGGGGTTTGCAGGCGGGGTCTTAAATCATTCTAATTTAAAGGGGAATGACTTTTTAAAAGTTATATTTTTACATGACAACAATGCACAATATAACTTTTCTTTTTTTTTGGAAAAACAAAACAAAACATGGTTAGCATATGTTCTGTTATTGGTGGCCTATACTGTAAACGATGCCATTTTTTAGTAATGCTTTTCAAAGCACTTCTGTAATCACAGAAGGTTTTTAATGAAAATGTTGCACTTGCGCCCTTTTCAGAGGCACACTTGGATATTCCCCTTTAAAACTTTGTTTCCATGTACAAAAATGTCATGCATGCCTTTTCTAAATACTCTTCCTCAATGCCGAATCAGTAACAGCAGTTCTCAAACTAAAATTTCTTGTCACATTTTGTCGTCTTAGTGGTTTGGTTCCTTTCTTTTATGTGACTGTTCTTTACTGGCCATTCTCCCCTCCCTGCCATCTCTTCTCCTGTCAGCATGGTGAAGCCACTGTACAGTGTATTCATGGTAACCAGAGTGTGTTTGATGTGGCGGACTTTAGTGTTCAGTCATGTCTACCTCCCCCCCTCTATTAATCACTTTCACTTTCTCTTTCCACAGCCTCAGCAGCAGGGAAGACTGTCTGTAAACGCTTTGTGTTTCTGTGCCTTGTGAACCCATGAGTTGTTGGCTGACTCTTCAGTATGGACGTTTGAGTGTCATGATCTCTGCCATGATAGAGGAATGGCATGTGCGATAAAAGACTACACTTTACAGGAAACATGACCTCTGTGGTCAGTTTGATAGGAAACCAGTGTGCGTACTGGGAAACAGGAGATTTTGGCTAATTGTTATTTGATTGGACAGTGCTGGCAGCATGGCAGCAGTGTACATCATGAGGTAAAGGTTTATTCATGCTAATTTAGGTGTGTTCTGTAGTAAATGAGTTGGGCAGAAATAATAAATTAAACTCACCCGACTAACTGAACTAATACAGTGTGCTTTAATTTGCAGAGTACCCAATGAAGAAGAGCTTTGGTTTATCTTAAAATAAATGTGCTGTTTATTTTTATGCGCATGAAAATTGACCAATTAAATGAACATTTTGATAAACAAAAATAACATCTAACAAGGCTTTTCTTGCATTTCGCCAAAAGGTGATTAACTGCTTAATTGCACTGAAGGAATGGTACTTTTGTCACAAAGGCTTTAACACTGCACTTGGCATTGGGCAGCCAAAATGTTCCCTGAGGGAGGCTAAATCTCAGTTTGATCAGGCCGGTGGATGGGAACGCACCCTGGTGGCAGGGTGAATTAATGCACCGTTGTGTTTGTCTCTCACAGGGAGCATCTAGGTGCAGTCAGAGTCCCTGCAGGGTCTGAGAGTTTTGAAGCACTGATTAATTATTGTATTAATAAAGCCAAGAAATCATCAGCCAACAAGAACAACAACTCCAGATTCAAGAAAAGGACAGGTAAGTTTCATTATTACATGGTCAACAGTGGCACGGACGTTTGCATGCACAGACAAAACTCACATCGTCTTCTTAAAATGTACAAATCTGTTCTGTAGCTGTGTCTAATTTGCTCTGCTGTCTTTAGATATGTCCACCTCTCAGACCCAGCAGCCTCATGCATCTCAGGCCTCTGTGCAAAGAGAACATCTCAGCTCTCCCTCAAAGAAAAAGTGGAAAAGTACACTTAGAAAGCACCCCTGTCTCCATCTGTCCTCTCTGCTGCGTTGGCTTCACCCGAGAGAAGACAGAAAATTCCTCCTGGCCAGTATGGACCCTGTCTCTTCAAACTATGGATCTCTCCTCTGAGAGACCCTCAGACTTATCTAGTGGGGCAGATCATCTTCTTGTCCATTCGCAAAAATGTACAATGGACAAGCTCTCAGTACTGTTTTATAATCAGTCGAAACTAGATATGATTTATTATGTTCTTCAGTTGGCACAATATACTACACATATCTGTATTTTCTGTAAATTTACAAAAAGGAAAAACGTACCGGGGTACTCCTTTAGAAGACACAGAAAAGAACAGGACAAAAGCTTTTTGTTTACTAATAAAAGAAAATAGCATTCCATTACATGCTAGGAAAAAAAATTGCTGGCTACTTTTTTGTCAAAACATTGTCAGAACTGTGTATATTGTGAAGGATAGAGTTAAATGCTCTGTGTAAATATGTCTCTTAAGACGTGATAGTTACTACAGGGTTTCTTTTCTTCCTTCTACATAATATACCTCAAAAAAGAGAGAGAAAAGGAATAAATATTTGAAAAAAAAATATTTCAGCACTTCTACCATATTTTGTGCAAGCTAGCAAATGTCAGTTTGGATGACATATGTTGTATCCGTTGTTGCAAAGCTTTGACGACATTACAGAACCTGAGGGAAGCCCAAAAATAATTTATTTGTTAAAAAATATTAACCACGAAGAATAAAGCACAGAATATCATGGAAATTGTAAGCTTGAAAAGAATGGCTGCCATATTAGACCGGTCCTGCATCAGTGTTTGAACTTTTTTTGAATTTTCTGCAGATGCAACCAAAAACACGCTTTATTTATTTTTCAACTAATTGATTTTATTTTTGACAAAAAATTTGGGACAGCTTTAAGGCACTTTTTATATGCGGTCGATGGTAAAATTAGTCCCAGCTGAAAAAAATTTTTTTTTGAAATGACATAAATGTAGTATTTCAATTGAAGTAGAATTATTTGGTCCTTGTCTTGCACAAATGTAGTTAGAAGTGGTGAAATGCAATATTAATCTTTCTGTCACTTCCTTGAAGTAAAATTTGTTACGTGTTGCTTTTGACAAACAGTAAACAAAGGAAGTACAGTAGATATTGTGCAGACTAACGAAGACATCAACATAACATAGGTAGGTAGGTGAAATAGTCCATATTCTAATCAGTGAAAAAAGACCTACAAAAGTGAACCTCAAAAAGTAGCTTGACCTTTTCTGAAAACAACTGTATTGTAATCTTTACTACTTGTCATCCATCACAGCTCATCTGAAGACATAGCAAAGTTTGTGTTATTTGAATTAATGATGAGTTTAGTATTTCCTGAAGGATGTTTATCGTCTCTAGAGTTCACTAACAGCTGCTGATCTGCTACCTACAGTGAAAGCTAATCGAGCGTGTGCTAGTTTAGTTTAACCGATGGTGAATGTATGATTTGCTCTTAGAAGATCAGATTTATCTGACTATTTTCAATGTGATGTTTTTTCTCTTAGAGCTTGTTTACTTGCCAATGCGATCAACTCCAAAATGAATCTTCTTCTCCAGATGAAAATTATTAAGTGAATGACATCTCATGCAGTACTTGAATAAGGCTGGAAGCACGAAACACTGGGATTGAATTTCTGTGTATAAAGATTTGTAGTAGCCATTTTGAGTTTGGATAAGAGTTGACTTGAGTGCCCAAAGGGCTGTTTACTTTGTCTTATCTTTCCCTCCTTTATTTTAAGCTATCATCGACATGAAAATGAACGCTCAAACATCTCACAGTAGCTATTTGAGCTATTCAGCAGACTCCATTGCTAATTTCTATGTACGTCTTCGTCATAACTAATGTTCTTGTTTCAAATCATAAGGCTGCTTTAATGGTGTAGTCTCTGAAAGGAAAAGGGGCAGTGTTTATTTTTAGATATTCTTACTTACCTGCCTTGATTTAGCTGTCAGGAGAGAAGTGATAAACCTAGACATAACTCTGTTTTTTGCTACGTGTCTTGTCAAGAACTCATAAGTCCTACAACAACCACATAATGTTTACATGATCTAGAAATATAACGTGCAAAGATGTAGGCACATTGTACACATTATGACTTGGTGCTATGTCTTTTTGAACTCGTGGTGCTGTGGTTCAGAGGTTAACACACAAACTCACGCACAGTCCTCTGTCTTTAACTAACCTTACTTAGCTCCGTCGTGATTTCCGTTGTCAAGTTTTCCTTGTGAGTAGGACCGCAAGCAATAAAACCTCTCTCACGTGGCAGGTCCTATCTTTCAGTACGAAAAGGTGTTAAATACAGTTCGGCTTTGACATTCAGTGTGTGCTTACGTTATCGCGTGAACGCGTTTGCTGCCTCCATGAATAAAAAAAAAAAGCCCGCGTATTTAGAACTAGCCAGTTTTGAGGAGGCAGCATATCAATGTAAAATCCATGAAATGTACACACGGTATAGTAGTAAGTTTTTCGTTTAGCATGGAAAGAGCCTGATAACTCAAGCAGGTGGCGGTCTGACGCGACATTTCTGTTATTTAGTGTTTTTCTTGGACAAGTGGAGCGATGCATCCTCACATAAAGCTGTCAGGCTGAATAAGCTGGAGGTCGCGGTATATCTGTGGATGGTGATTGACGGCATTTTATTCAGCTCCTCTGTTCTTGGAAGGGAGAACCCGACTAGACTGAAAAAAGCTTCTCTTGGTATTGAATATATATATGATACTGTACAGGTAGACACGCCCCCTTTTTGCTTCTATAAGAGAGGGCTCATTTGCAGGAAGTGTCATATCAACTTTTTGATTGCCTGTAATCAGTTTTGTGCTTACTACTTCTTATGGTGCTTCGTGAAACTTTATTTTCCTTGATTTGTTAATTGAACAGAACTAACCTTACATAATCAAGATCACTCTTTCGGACCTGTCTGTCTCGTTTCAGATAATGTAGGCCTACAACTTTTTTGTTCTTGATTTTTTTGCTGTTCATATTAACCAGCACTGAAAACCTAGAATGTAATACTGCATTATGCACTAATTTACGACTGTTTTAACATTAAACCTCATACTTAGAGCTTATTGGAAGCATATTTCAAATTGCATTTTTGTGTGCTTTTGAATTTGTGTTGTATATTGTTTACAGATTCTGATTTAATGATGTGTTCTGGGCAAACATTGTTCTTTCTTTCTGATCATCCTATACAAGAAATGTTTTAGAGACTGTTCTTGTGTGAAGAAGAAGAAGAAAAAAATCACTAATTATTTGTTCTTTTCTTTGAGATGTATTTGATTGACTGATTGAATGATTGATCAGAGGCTTCTTTTGTTAAGTAATCTCATTTATTTCAGGTATTATTCTTAAAAAGTATGGTGCTGTACCAAAGCCTTATGTACAATATTATTATGATGTAATGTTTGATTCTTCTGCCACTGCTAAGGAATTCTCCAAGAAATTGCTAGACAACTCTGATTATCAAACAAGGTGCAGTGTGCCTCAATATCTTCTCGTCCTTGATTAGTACAGAACAGTATTTTTTCATGGGCGTTCTCCACATACTCAGATCTTAAGATATGGTGCCTGGAGTGTCTTCATGCTGCTAGGAGTAAATGTTAACGATGTTTCGTATCTGTACTACCAACTTATGACATTGACCTCCACAATAACTCAGCTGGACACTTTGATTCAGCATCTTGATTTTAAAAGGGAACAACCCTGCAGTAAGCAATGGCATTTTTAAAGAATAAAGGATATTGCATTGTTATATTATTTTTATTCTATTGTTTTGATCATTATTTTCTTGCATTATTTTCTAGGATAAGACCCTAATCAAAAAGAATATGCTACCCTGACAAATGAATTGTCCTTGAGAGTTACATCAGTACCAGACCTGGGAATGAAACATAGAGTGTTAAATGTGTGTATGTGTGTGTATGTCTGCGTGCTGTCTTCAACAGCCCAATTGAAGTTCTGTATAGTGGAGCCGTTCAATTTGCATTGTTTACATCACCAGATGCCCAGATATGCACATTTTGGCAAGCTCTATTAGGTTGACATTTTCCAACGCTTTGGTCCATGTAATAACCCCGTAAAACTTTTTGTATTTTGATATAATAAAAAAATATATGAGAGTGCGTTCTTGATGAGTTATCTTTTATTTAAGAACCTGTGATAGCCACTAGAGGCCACTATTGCGTTATGGTAAATCTGACTGGGTAATTTGACCTACTGTTTATATCGTATGCCGTTGAGGAAAGGTGTTTTTTAATAGTTTGCCAGGATGACTGATACATTTGTCATATATAAAAGTAAACATTCATCAAGGAGCAGAGTCTTTAAACTAACACAACTCCCTCTCACACACCTGTTTATCTGAAGTGACTAACACAGAATAGATAACCTTGGCATAAATCTCACGGACAACGCCTTGGCATATGCCTGAATATTAATTGTTTTAACTGATTCACAACGATGATGATAATTGTTTGCCAAATACAAAGCTGACACAGGCTCTGCTCATTATTGGTTAACATTTTGATGGTGTCATTTTTGCTTTGGAAATGGAAATTTGTTCATTTTCTTTTGGCTTAGTCCCTTAATCATTGGTCACCACAGCAAAATGAACCATCAACTTATCCAGCATGTTTTATACAGAGGATGCCTTTACAGCTGCAACCCAATAATGGCAAACACCTATACACACTCATTCACACACGTTATTCTATTCACCTATACCGCATGTCTTTGGACTGTGGGAAAACACCCGAAGGAACTCCACACAGAAATGCCAACTGACCCAGTCGGGATTCAAACCAGCTAACCGCTAAGCCACCATGCGCTGCCCCAATTGCAAAGATAAAGTGTTCTAATATTATCATTCTATAATGGTGGGTGAATAGTTCATCACAAAAACGTAAAATTGTATAATCATGTAGTTTCAAACAGTATGAATTTTGTGGAATACAAAAGATGCTTTGAATAATAGTGTGCTAATCAGACAATTATACAGCAGTGTTTCTCAACCATGTTTCTGGAGGACCACCAGCTCTGCACATTTTCCATTTCTTCTTAACCAAACACACCTGATTCAGATCATCAGCGCATAAGCAGAGACTGAAAGACCTGTAATGGGTGTGGTAGACAAAGGAGACATCCAAAACATGCAGTGTTGGTGGTCCTCCACACTTTAACCCAACAGTCAACTTTATCACATGAAATGAGTGTAGTTAACTCAAAATTGACTGAAAGTTAATTCTACTCATTTTAACAGATTTCTTAACTTAGTGTTGAGGGTAATTAGTTAATTAAATACCTCATTACTTCATCTTGAATAGAAGTTCACCGTACTCATATAGATTAGTTTACTCTAATGGTTTGTAGCAATCGGTTTCCTCAAACAGTTTAAATTGCCTTAACTTATTGGGTTTTACAGTACTCAGTTGGTTTGAGTTCTCTTCATTTATTGGGTTTTACTGTGCTCAGATTGTTTCATTTACTCAAATGGATTAAGTTTCTTTTGAACTTAAATGGTTTGTTGCAATCAGTTTCCTCAAGCGGTTTGAGTTACCTTAATGTTTTGGGTTTTACAGTGCAGGAAAGTGGTTGAGAAACACTGCTATTCTGTACACTACTATGCTATACCACTGACTTGTACATACCAAACAAAACATGTTACATAATAACTGTCATAAAAAGCTGAAAAGGTTTTTTAACAAAACCATGTTTTTAAAACAAATATTTCCAGTCCTTGATTCTGATTGTTTGAGCCATGTTTGAAGTTGTTGTACAGTACCCATACACCTGTGACTGTTGCTTGGCATCCATTTAACTATTATGAGTACTGAGGCCACAGGTATATAGATAGACCCTGAGCATGCGTCAATAGCGCCGCCACCGTTTTACAGTTCTCCCAGGACGAAAGTCATACTACTTGTCAAGACAGTGAGCCAATGTGAAGATGCTGGACTTTACCGCTGTGTACTGGTGTAGGTGAACAATCAAAGAAAACAAAGCACCAAGGCAGAACATTTCATATAAGATTTTGTTTTTTTATGTTTTTGTTTGTTACGAACTTTTGTGCTATACAAATATTGATGATAAAATCACTTATTGCTTTCATCATAAGGAAAGTAGCATCAACTCGCATTACACATTAGGCTTTTGCTGGTTTTGTTATTGACCTTATTCTAAAATGCGCAAGTGTGCCTGTTTTCGCGATTGTCTTAGAACTTCCAATTCAGTCGCCTATGGGAGAAATGACTAGGAATAATAAACGGCAGAAAATGGCCAAAGCACTTGCTCAACAAACAAATGTTTGCATGACTACACAGACCAAGTAGCATAATATAATAAGAAAATATTAAATTGCAACATCAAGCAGCGTAACGAGCAGTTGTTAACGTCAAAAAATGAATGGAAGTGAATGTGACCGGAAGTCGCGAGACAAAAAGATTCAAATGGCAGCGCCCACTCGTCAGCTGAGAATAAGGTGAATGTAATATAAGCAAACAAAGTAAATGAAATATGACCACAAGATGCTGTGGTGCCAGAGTAATTGAGATTCATTCAAAAATGAATCGCTCCCTCCGTTAGAATGAGAAGTGAAAGCAGGATAAGAGCAAATTTAACAGGGAGGGAGGATAATACATTTACATGCACACAAGTTATGGCAGTGTCCATGTGGTCACTAATCCTTCGATGTAGAAAAGTGATGTAAAATTATAATTTTGTCATTTTAAAAATATTAGTGAACTGACGGCCAGGAAAACTCCCAATCATAGATATATGTGCATATCTGGCTCTGGATGGCCAGTCCTCCACTACACCTTGGTCCCACATTCATTTCAAAGGAACGCTACCCTGTACCAAAATGGCAGCTTTATTGACGCATTCCTTTCAAAAGACAACAACAAGGTAGGCGACATCTAATGTAAATAATGTAAAAGCTTGCAGAAAAAAAGAAATATGGCCATTTTGGGGACCCCAAAATGCAAATATGTACCGTTTTTTGTTAAAAATAGATTTGTGTAAACTTTGCAAGAAAAGAAAAACGTCTGTAGCAGCACCTGGGTGAAATTGTGGTGTAAGCTTTTTTTGTAAACAATAATCTTTTTTTTTATTATCCAAATTAAGAGGAATCAATTTTATGAAATTGTTTTAAAAATAAAAAGACTAAACTTGTATTCTATGTCAATTATTTTTAATCATGATAAAAAAGTTTTAAATGTTGATCTCATGTAAGGACAGAGTTAAGTGGATCCTATATCCACCTTGATCATAGCCACGCCCCCAAACACACACGCACGCACTCAGTTTATCAGGTGATGCGTAAAGGAAAGAAAGAAGTTTTCATGTGTCAAGAAGCACTTTCATTTACTCACTCACTCACACCACGTTCACACACGATAAAGGATGCCTTTGTTAGATGCCTGTGCACACTCATTCAAAGTAAAGGGATTACCTGTGTAATAGAGGGAAATATCTCTCGGATGTCGTTTGGTCTGCAGTGACGCTGAAACAATCAATCAGGTGAGCTACTGTTTGTTGATCTTTCCTTCTTTTTTATGACTGTGATTTATGTAACATACGCACGTGTAAAGACCAAGAATATACCAAGAATATGTCTTCTAGCAATATCTTCCATAAATGTAAATTGTTTGTAGTCTTATGCCGTTTTAAATTCCTTACCGTCATGTTATTCACGTTACATAGCTGATAAGAATATACACGCTGAAACAATTTAGTCTAGTGTTACGGAAACATAAACCACCCACGATGAGTCTATAAAGAAACTAAACGTTAAAATCCTCATCGGAAGTCACATGCTGTTGGCCATGCATGACAACTGTGCTCATTTTATTACCAGTTAAAAGAAGATTTCAGCACCATTTAGCTTAAAGTTTATTCGGCTTCTTAGTCACGCAACGGTAAACGCCTACTCTCTGTTCATGTTATACCCTGGCTGTAAACATTCCTCATCACATGTTCAGGATTTCATGACAATCTGTCGCTTAGCAACCCCATCAATGAACATCAGCTTTCATACAGTACAATCCCATACTCGAGTCGAGCAGATGATATCATGCAAACATGATGTAATACATAAAGTTCAATTGCTCACTGAATCGTGCTGTCCAAAGGTCTGGGACCATTTATTAATGTTTCCATGATGCATTTTTAAATCATTATTATTTTTATTGAGGTCCTTGTCTGTCTGTCTGTCTGTCTGTCTGTCTGTAAGTTACTTATATCAACTTAAAAACAGATTTTTTTTTATTTCTGTCTTTGCTTTCAAGCATTTGTGTGCGTTTGAATGTCGAACAAAAATTGCTGCCCTTGTCATGAGATACCAGTACCACTGTTATTCTGTTAAGAATAACCACTGTTGAGAAAAATCGTATACAAATATTCAACATTCCACATTGTGCAAGGAAAACATATTCCTGTATTTCCAAGTTGTTTGGATTAAATGTGGGAAAATAATACAATATTTTGGGCGTAACAATAGCACTGAATTCAGAGACAGTTTTTTTTTATTGATTTTTTTATACAGGGTATTACATTTATTTCTCTTTTTCATACCAGCAACATAAGGTGTTTAAGTCTCATATTTCATGAGAAGATATGGACCAAAATCCATAATCCATAATAATCATAAATCAATAACGTTTAAAAATGGTTTTTGAATAAATCTATCTGTTTTCTTAAAAAAAAAAAAAAAAAAAAAGATTATTAACATGAAATAATATATAGTACATTTTTACGTTTACCTTTGATCTTTGTTTCTGTCTCTCTGTCCTTTTCTTTTTTTAGGAATACATAAAACTTATGCTCAGTATATTTGTAGTATTAAAAGTTTAAAAATAGTTGTTTTTATAAATATTGTTGTTTAATTATATTAATATTTAATAACATTTTATGAATATACATTTTATTTTCAAGCAATCCCATGCAAATGTCAAACTTTCCATAAAAATATAGCGAATGGCTATAGATATATGTAGATATAGATATTTATGTTGGCTTGTATTTTACAGTACTGCAAAAATACTGTGTAAAAGTATTATTTGTAACTGTGTAACTGTGTAACAATGTATCTGTCAGCGTTTTCAAACAATTATATTTGATTAACCAAAGTCACATAAGTGGCAATTTCATATCTGTCACATCCATAACAGAGCTTTTTCCTCATAAATGCAAAAATGTCAAGTAAAATAAAATGGATTGTTATTGTTCTATACTAAACCAGTTTCTAGTTTCTTTTGGGTTGAGCAGTTTAATTCACAGAATTACACAAAGTATGTTGTATACTGTAAACTCACAGACTTTTTGATCACATCCATCAGGCATGTTTATTTTCCTTATTTAAATGTATACAATATATTTACAGATTGATATTTTTCTGATCACATAATTCTGTGGTTTGTTGTTTTGGAAAATATAAACAGATGTTTTAATGTAATGTTAATGCATTCTTTCTCTGTGAATTTAAGTTTTTACTGCAAATGTCACATCCAAATTCTGAAATTGCTCATTCAATTATTTTATATTACATAAAAAATATACAGTATGGCATACATTGTAATGCATGTCGTATGCTATATAGAAATGCCAGTTTTTTTATTAGACATAGTTATTTGGACCTCATTATATTCTGTAATTTGGCCCTCAATGCAGACCATAAACTGTTGCTTATATTAAGATAATAGCTTAGTGTCGAAGGGAAAAAAATGAATACTCATTTCTAGAGCTGCACAATTAATCGAAAAAAGATCGCAATCTTAAATTGACCTTCAGCTTTTTTAAAATTCAGCCAATTATATTTTCATGGCCAGGAGAGAAGCATAAAGGCGGTCACACAAGTCTTCACATTTCTTCATACACATTGCTCAGTTACATGGACACCTGCAAATGGTGTTAATCATGTCACATAGTGTATTTATAAAGTATAATTCACCCAAAAATGTCATTTCTGTCTTCATGTAATGATGAAGTCACAGCAGCAAAATCACACATGAGCTGATGCAATGTTTGTTTACTGCCCGCCAATGATGTCAACTTTAATAAACAGAACCTGCAAATTGAGTGACAGGAAATTAAGTTGAAAATATAGTGTGTTACAAACTAAACTCAAGTGGAAGCACTAAAGTATTCACTATGAAAAAAAAACATATTAAATGCTTGTCGTGATCCTAGCTCTAAAATGCGATATGATCATTTAAATGATGTGTTAGGTTTTGGTTTCACTTTCACATGGATGCCGTCACTTAAACAATACTTGTACATTGTAGTAGTACATTGTGAAATAAACTACTTGCAATTCTTAAGTACAAAAAATGTTGAATACTTTAGTGCTTCCACTTAAATACGCTGCTTAAATAGCACTTCCACTTCTACTCAAGTCACTTTTTTGATAGAGCACTTAGGTCTTTAGTACTTTATACATCTCTGCATTAAAACAGCTGTCATAACATTATTAATATGTAGCTCTTTTTAAATTTTCGGAAGCTGTAGAACTTAAAAATGTAAAACAGGAAATACGTTGGTACCATTTTTGTTTAAATCCCTCAAAATGGTCTTTAATGTCTCGTATAATGCAAAAGGGAATCTGAGAATGACAAATGTTTCATTTTACCAGTGAAAAAATAGTCTAATATTTCCCAGAGATGGGTTGCGGCTGGAAGGGCATCCGCTGCGTAAAAACTTGCTGGATAAGTTGGCGGTTCATTCCGCTGTGGTGACCCCGGATTAATAAAGGGACTAAGCCGACAAGAAAATGAATGAATGAATGAAAATGGTCTAATAATGTTCTCAATGTCAAATGACAAGCATATGTGTGCAACATAATAATTCTACTTCAGAATTATGAATAATTATATTCTGATGTTATACTTTTAATGTGAATTATCAACCAGGACATATTTTAAGTCATTCCATACAAAATGTAGCATTTTAACCAACAGTAGACCAACACATAGGCCTAATTTTATTTTTGTTTTACCATATTTTGGAATAAATAACAATAATAATAGTCGACTCATGTTAACCTTTATTTTACAGCTACAGAAAATCATGATCTTGGCTTTAAACAAAAAAGATTGTGATTCTCAGTTTAGCCAGAATCATGCAGCCCTACTCATTTCAGTGGCTGTGTGAATATGTGTGGATTAATCACAGGCGCTGCTGTGTGTGTTTGTGCTCAAGGTGACGTTTGTCCTCTCAGGTACAGTATCTGCATGCAAACATAGAGGACTCATTCTGCTGACTCAACTTTAAGCTTCTCCTCGTCAGCACTTTTGACAGTTTGTAGAGTGTGAGAGGAATATGTTGTAGTTTTTACATCTCGCTACTCCTAGACCTACAGTAGTAGATCATAAATGTTGTGCTGTCAGGATTACTAAGGTTCCTCTCCCTGTGGTGTTTAAACAGTCACTGTGGGTGTGACTGAATATTCCTTTTGTTTATGCTTCACACTTGAATTATTAATGGTGTAGCGTATTGCAACATTGCTTGTACAAGTCCCATGTAAGTCTTGTGTTCATGCATCAGTAAACATGGTACAAACTGTCCTTGTCATTGATTTTTCTTTAGGTTTATTTGTGTTTCAAGGACTGCAGTCGCCATTTAGCCAACAGATTTTTTTTCTTGAACTCAGGGTGAATTCAGTTACATTGATTGAATGGCTAAACACAGTAGTGACATATACAAATCATGTCTGCCATTATTTTTTAAAGTAGATTTATGTGGAATAAAAATGTGATTTATTGCTGTTATATTGTCATACATCTTTCTTTCTTTCTTTCTTTCTTTCTTTCTTTCTTTCTTTCTTTCTTTCTTTCTTTCTTTCTTTCTTTCTTTCTTTCTTTCTTTCTTTCTTTCTTTCTTTCTTTCTTTCTTTCTTTCTTTCTTTCTTTCTTTCTTTCATGAATGAATGAATGAATGAATGAATGAATGAATGAAGCCATTAATATAATTACAGCAATGAAAAACATGCCAATGAATCTAACATAAATTAAGTCTTCGATATTGTAGATCTTAGTAATCAGTAAGTTTTTTCTTTTTAAAATATCAGTTTGTTTGTTAGCATTCATTCATTCATCCATTCATCAATTCATCAATTAATCAATCAATCATTTGAAGCTGTTATTGCAATATACTGAATAGAACTGCTTGTAGTGATTGATTAACATTAACATATGGGTTTGATGCAAAAGTCAATTTAACGAATATGAAAAGAAAATGGAAGTCATGGTTTTTGAGGATAGTGTTGTAACTTCCACGGTTGATTTGAGTGACCTAGCACAGCACATCTAAAATGACCATTACAAATCTTAGGGTTCAACTTGATCCTAACTTAAAGTTGAACAACCAAATAAGGGCAGTGGTCAAGGCAAGCTTTTTCCAGCTGAGGCAACTGTGGAAAATGAAGTCATTTCTTTTAAGATAACAATTTGAAACTGTAATCCATGCCTTTGTTACTATCCACCTGGACTACTTTAACTCACTTTACAAAGGGATAAGTGGGTCTTCTGTAGCCCGTCTACGGCTGGTGCAAAATACTGCAGCACGGCTTTTGACAGGCTGCCGTAAGTTTGATCATATCACTCCGATTTTAACCACACTTCACTGGTTACCTGTACAATATAGAATTCATTTAAAAATTGTTTTGTTAGATCCCTAAATGGTTCTGCCCCACACTACATATCTAAACTGCTACACCCGTACAGTATATACTGTACCGTCGTGTGCTCTTAGATCAGCAGCTTCTTAGAGTCCCCAAAATTAGATGTAAGCTTAGAGGTGAACCGTGCATTTGGAGTGGCTGCCCCCAAGTTTTTGAAGTCCCTACCTCCTTACATCGGGCAAGCCCCTTCGCTGTCGTTGTTCAAATCACGCCTCAAAACCTTTTCTCCTTGGCCTTTTTCACCTGATCTGATATCTGTTGGACAGAATATATGGAACTCTTATGCATGCAGTAGTTTTACTACTTGAGTTGTATACCATGTGTTATTTGTGGTTAGTGTTTTAATTTTATTTTACTGTTCAGCACTTTGGTCTGCTGCTCGGTGGTTGTAAAGTGCTTTATAAATAAAGTTGAATGAATGAATATACATAAAAATACCCATGGTCGCATATCATATTTATTATTGTAAATAATATAACTTTTGATTGTATTACATTATAGGTGATGTACTGCCCTACTTTTATATCCAACTTTTATTTAGAAATTGATTTATTAATTGAAAAAACTCACTTAAACTTGACATAGCCTTTCTAGTTGATTTGGATAAAATTTTCTGCTAAATCACTTTTGTCAAAAACAGTTCCTGGAGGGCCACAGCTCTGCTCTTTGGCTTTAACCCTCATTAAACAAAGGACTCATTAGTCCTTCAGGCTTGTTTGAAAGCTACAGGTAAGTGTGTTTAAGCAGAGTTGGAGATAAACTGTGCAGGAGTTTGACACCCCTGTGCTAAATGAATGAATGTGATTTATTATCAGCAGCCTTTGTTGCTGTTATGGCAGTTGTGAATAAAGTTATAATGGTGACACGTTATTATTATTTTTTTATTGTAATTTTATTGTAATAATACAATGTAAACAAATCCACCTTGTGTGTGTATATATATATATATATATATATATATATATATATATATATATATATATATATATATATATATATATATATATGATTGACTGATTTAATGTCCGGTATTAATCCATCATATGTTATTAATATACATAATCTATTATAACCAATATTAACTTGGATTAATGTTTTATTTTATTTTTTATTAAAATGATTTTGGTTAATATACAATAAAATAAATCATCTTTGAACTATTTTATTTTTAATTTAATTAATTATTATTCAATATAATTTAATTTATTTCATTTCACTTTCCTTTGGGCTTATTCCCTGCTTTTTCCAGGGGTCAAAACGGAATGAACTGCTTATTTCATGTGATCAAAACTATGTACAGTATGTAGAAATGAATGAATTTATTCAATATTATGTCAAAATAAACTAAATATATAAACTTATACAGGCTTGCTACACACTCCTGCACCCCACAGGGCCTCCTCCAGTGTCTGTATTGTAGGTGTAGACACTAAAGTGAAGTCCGGTCTCTCTCACACTCCCACTCTCTCTCTCTCTCTCCTCCTCCCTCACAGACGGGCAGCTGTAGCAGTGACTCAGTATCATGGAGGCGAGCAGCAGGACTGCAGCAGCGACAAACGCCAGAGCTTCAACACCTCCGACAGACGCAAGCACTCATGATCCCAGTGAAGGGTAAGAAACAGCCTGCACACTTCACCTTCTCCGTGGGCTTTTGCCTGCAGCTAGTTATGCATTATAGCGTGCGTTTTGTCTTGCAAGGTTAGATGAGGCATTTTCTTCACAATTGGCTGAATGTCTGCATAATCAGGTGCAGTGTGCATGTAGTGTTGGTTTTTGCACTCGCAGGCGTTTCCAGTGTCATGTGACTGGTCACCTTATTTTAATTCTGAGACAGCAGATTTAGCCAGCGCTGCATGCAGCAGATGTGAATTTGTCCCCTGAGGATGAAATTACAGGGGTGATTTGTGTGCAACTGGTGCCCAGCGGAGATGATAACAAGGATGGTAGAGGCATCAATGAATGAACGTGCTGGACCACATTACGGAAGCAGGCTTGCTGTAATGTGATAGTTAATGACATTCTTTTACTAGCTGTTAATTAAAATCATAAAAACTGTAATTCATACAAATATTAGGGTAATAACTGTTTTGATATAGTTAAATTGGCATTTAAGTATGTAGTTAATCATTTGTTTTTTAATATTTTTCATTATAATTATATTAATTACAATCTATCTAATATGCACATTTTTTCTACCAAATCAAAACCATTTGATTCAACCTACATGCAGAAAAAAACATAAAATAGGATACTTTACACTGTAGAATTTTTCTTGTTATTTGAAATCCTGTTAATCATGTTATAAAGTTAATCATGCTTGTATCAACATTTATCAAAAGTTTTGAAAATTTTAAACTTAAAGTTTTAATTCTAATTTAATGGTTTAAATTTAATGTACTGTAAGTTCAATTGAAAAGCTTCTTTGAACTTTCTTTTGTATGATGTCCCATGGTGGAAAAAGTACTGAAAAATCCTACTCATGTAAAAGTGCGATTACTTGGCCAAAAATGTATTGCGAATAAAAATATCTGTCGTAAATATTGCTCAAAGTATGAGTAAAAAGTAGCCCTTTTAAAAGTACTCGAGTAATATGCTGTGAATGGCTGATGCGTGTGTGTAAACGTAATATTCTGCAGTGCATTTATACAGAAAACATCTGTCATCTTCTCATCAGTGACATTCAGTCTCTTTGTCATTGTCTGTAAAGATTTTGGACATATTCTTGCACACTTTTAATGCTTCCAAACAGTTTGCTGCATGTCTTGATTTACTTTCAATAACGGATTTGATTGGACAGAAATCACAGGACTGATTTTTTCTAATCCCTATAGACAGGAAATTATAAAGTTGTTACTTTAGGTTGAAGGTAACTAGTGGAGTAAAATTACCAATACAGCACTAAAAATGTACTCAAGGGAAAGTAAACATACACATTTTGAAAACTACTTAGTAAATTACAATTTTTGAGAAAAAAACTACTCAATTACAGTATTTTGATTATTTGTAATTTGTTACTTTACACCACCGATGATGACCTTTGTAGAGTAGACTCCTATAAAAAATAGATTTTTATGGCAATAATTATTATATCTTGGTTAGTTCAGGTAGGGTGGTCCATTTTGCTGTGGTGACCCCTGATAAGTCAGATACTAAGTTGAAGGATAGTGAGAGAGTGAGTAGTTCAAATAATAAAATGCCATTTGTTGTTACTCTCAAAAGAAAAACTGTCATGACCATCATGACCCTTATTGTGCAGAATGAGTATTAGTTGACTAAACAGAATGACTAAAAAAGACTGGATTGTCAGCAATTTTCATTGACTAAATCTTTATTAAAATGTCCAGAACTAAAACAAAATATCTGGCTGACTAAAGGGATTTTTGATGTGGGAACTTTTTCTAAAAAAGTTAATGTACATTTCATTGAATGACAGCGGTCAGTAATAGTTGTGGTTCTTATTTTGATGATGTTTTTATTGTTATCATTAACTATTATTATGCAGAATAACTAATATGACTGAAATGTCAACAGTTTTCATTGACTAATACTTATCTTGAGATTTTGAGTTACATTTTTTTTTTGTTTACTTGGTTGAGAACAAATGATCAAAAACATAAATTACTTTTTTTTTTTGACATGTAAACTATTAGGGATTAATACAATTTGGTGTGAGTCAAGATGTTCTGGGGATGGTATACAAGAACTTGAAAGTGTTGTAAGTTTTAACATGGTTGCATGGTATCGACTGTTACCAATTAAGGAAAAGCAAAAACTGTTTCGAGTAGTAAAAATTGCCGGAGCAATTGTAGGTAAAGTACAAAGACAACCAAATGAACTTTGTTTAATGAGAATCAAACCAAAAGCACATGTCATTATTGAAGATTGTTCCCATCCCTTAAATTTAAAATTTCAGCTCTTGCCATCAAAAAGACGTTTTAGGCAACCTCAAGCAAAGAAAAATGTGCATCAAATGTCCTTTGTGCCGACTGACATCAGAATTTTAAAAACTGGGTTCTAAGTATGCATAGGGTTTAAGATAGAGTTTTGTGATGACACTGAATGTATTTGTGTTGCCTATTTTCTTTCTGTGATGTGTGAAATGTGAACACTAATCTGGTTGTGTTGTGAAGCCAAAGATAAATTTCCAGTTGTGGACAATAAAGAAAGTAAAAGTAAAGTAAAAAAAAAAACTAAGAAAAAATGAAAAAACAGCTGACAAACTTAATGCCAAACATTCTCATAAATCACTGAGCCTTTTGCTTCTTTCTTCCGTGAACAGACTCGGGCATTATCGTTCAATCTCACTGTGGTCTAATCTGGAGGAGGAAAGGGGGGAGTGTGGGATGTTCTGGAACAAAATCACTGACTTCGTCTTTTGTCTATTGAATGAATTGGCTAAACTCTAGCCTTTTATTCCCATTCTAAAGGCTTCCCAATCCTTAAAGCTGTTCCAGCTCACCTTTCCTTACCCCTGGAGCGCATCATATTTCAGGACCTGTTCTTTGTTACCCAGGGTGGATTCATTTGTGACTGACTGACTGACTGAAGTGATATCCTTTTGTGTCTTAGAACATACAATAGCATGCTTTTGACTGCCACTGGTCTGGTCTTCTATAACATCTCCTTGTTTCGACCCTCTCGGCCTTGTTCTCAGCTGCAGGGTGACCTGGGTAATGCTCCAGAGATTATCTGAAATGAGTGGATCATTTCACCAAGCTTTTTTTAATTCTTTACAGTTGGCTTATACAGTAAATTGTTATTCTGTCACATAATAGTTTGTCTAGTATACATCCTGATTTTCAGTAACACTCTAAAGACTTTATATAAGATCCAGATTCCACCTTAGTGTTGTTTTGCTATTTTATATATGGCTACTCTACTAGATTCTAATGGATACATTAAAAATGTTTTAGGACTTGCTTTGTTTGTTGAGCAGCTTTACTCTTGTGTTATTGACACAGCTTGGCCTTGGTTAACTTTGACTTGTTGTTTGGTTATTTGTTCACTCACAGGTCACGAGTTCAGTGTAATGAGTAGTGCCTCTCAACTCAGTTTGTTTATTGCCCGCATGTCCTGTATGATTAGGCAGCCAAAGTTGTGAAGAAAGTATCTAGGTGAGAACGAATGGCTTGTTAGCTTTTTTAAAAGCTCTTTAAAAAGACCAGGAAAAATGAGAAAGTTTGGGTGATAAAATATATAATAATACATGGTCCTAAACAAAATTCACCAGATTAACATGCAACACAAACAAAGACAAACAAACACAAACAATAAATTTATTTTTCAGAATGTCTAATCTGAACTCGACCAAAGCATAAACTTTTCAGTCTGACATATTTTATATTATACTCCAATTATTCACAGCTGGACTCGCACTATACCCAGCTCACACACAGCGTAACAGATACAAAACATATTGGTCATTTATAGTAATTTGGTTACTTACCAACAGACAATGTAACCACAACATCATATACTGGTAATTCCATTTCCATCCCAATACCAAATCACAATGTTGTCAGTATATCCCACTGATGTTACAAGCTAACTAAGAACATCCCAGACAGGTATTCAATTAGTAATAACTTGGTAATTTCTTGATTTACTGTCAACGTAACTGCAACATCTTTTTAACTGCATTTTTAATGAAACGCTTGTGGGTTAGTACATTGGTTTCCACATAACTTTACAGATATAACATCATAATTATATATATAATTCTTTTTATTTTATTATTTTATTTTTTTTAAGTAAAAATAAATGAACAGCTAATCATTATAAGTGTAATTGCAAACTATTTTGATGACCAAAGTTTCATTGTGACAATGTAACTAATTACGCCGTGACAACCGGAAGGGTGAAGTTCACAGTTACGTTGCTACAATGTAGCTTTGCAACGCTGCCAGACAATCATTTACCATAACATAGATTTATTTTTGTAGGCCTACAGCAGAGAATTAGATGTTTGAGTTTATAGTTTCTGAATGGCTCAAGCTAATTTTGATGCCTCTGACTGAATGTAAGAAGTTGAATTTGTCCTAATTTTGAGTATAAGTCCATCATTCATAAAATATTTTGCCTTTATGGGGCAAACAAGGACAAGTAATTGTCTTCCTTTTTTATGACCAAATTGGTTTCAGTACATGAAGTTACATTGTAGCAACGTAACTGGGAATTTAACTTTTCCAGTTATCACAACTTAATTATTTACGTTGTCACAACAAAAGTTTGGTCGTCAAAATATGTTGCAATTATGTATCAATCACATACTATAGCTAGCTGGGTATATAATATCAGAGAATAGCAAATATACAAAATTTGCATGCACTACAAAATGTGAACATTTTATGGCATCACGTTATTTAAGATTTTTCTGCCAAGAAATAACTCTTAGCAGACGGTTGCTAATGCTAATATGTGGTAGCTACTAAACAAACTTCTACACTGGTTCAAATCTGAGGTGATATGCCCTTAGTGCTTCTGTTTTCCTGTACGGTTGTTGGTTCATTTATGAGATATAACACAGATACAAGCAGATCCTCAATCTCTGCTGTCCACTGACTCCATTTAGTTGCTTGTTCTGCAGTTATATAGTCAAAAATACGAAATGTTTGATATGATCAAGACAGCCCTGATGTGCCAGTAAACCGATTAGAAAGTTCAAGATTAGATCTGTAAACACATCATATCACCATATAATCTGGATCAAACAACAGAACCAACCAATGTTCTGAGGAAGATTTTTTTTCTTAGATTGTTGAGAAAAGTAAATTAATCTTAAACTCCTGTACTGTGAAGTCAGAATGAGGATTGCAAGCAAACACAACAACATCACACAAAAACATTCCTCTTGTTGCTAGGAATCATCTAGCAAGTCTTTTAAATTTGGCTCAAGCAACATGTTTGATATCCACTGACTGGGCTGATTTTCTGCTAAATCTGTCTCTCTGAATGCTCAGAATCTGCAGACTGCTGCTTATTATTTTATGCAACTTGCACTGAGTCTTCCAAACTGAAATTGAATGGCAGAAATTGTGCAGTTTATTCTAGCCTTTAATGCTTGTTCTGTCCCTTAATAAAATCTGTTCATTGCTTTATAAGCTGTAATATGGTGTACTAGTCATAAGGATGAAAATAAGAAGAGGTGAGAATCACCATCATTATTTATAGCACTGCCTCGCCTTTGCTTATGAACTTTCCTATAAATAAGGAAAATTTTAAATCAATATGGAGTTTAAAGGGATAGTTTTCCCAAATATATATATATAAAAAAATCTGTCATTACTCTCCCTTTACTGGTTTAAAACTTTTTTTTTTTTGAGTTTCTTTCTTCTTTTAAACACAAAAGATATTTTGAAACATGTCAGAAATGCTTTCTGACTGACTCACTGACTTTCATACACTCTAAAAATGCTGGGCTGTTGTAACCCAATGTTGGGTCAAATATAAACAAATCCAAAATTTGGGTACATTATTTCAATTAAATTTAAATTAAACTTATTAATCCAATGTTTTTTTTTTTTTTTCATATTTGACTGTTTGGTTACAGCCAGCACTTGCTTTGTAAACAAATAATTCCTGCAACAAAACCAGGAAATAAAAGTTACCATGACCAACGTTCACCGAACAATTTCAGTTTTCCCAGAACACGTCATAGCGGTACACACACAACCGTACAATCTGACACAAATATCTGACATTTTCCAGAACATGATCCAGCAAGATCCGGCTCAAATTAGGCACTGGTTACAGCAACACAGTATTTCAGTATTTTTTAGAGTGTGGTATTTTATTATTTTTTTTATGAAAGTAAATGATTACAGGCAGGGCTTGGTAATAACTTTTTTAAAGACCAGTCACTGTGGCTAGTAGTCAACATTACTAGCCATTCGCCATTTTCACTGGCCATAATTTTATTGTTAGGAAAATATATATTTGTATGCATAGATTTGACATTTGGCATGCTAAAATGACTTAATTTAGATTTTGTTATGTCAACATAATGAATGAGTCCGCATTCATTTCACTTTTTGTGTGTTGTGTATGAACTTGCTCAATTGGCATGAGCATGGGTTGTGCTTTCATAGTCGTATTGCAATTAGTTCTTGTTTCACAAGACTTTTCAGAGCTCAACTCTAAAGATTTACCAAATTTGTCTCTGGCCAGACTAAAAATAAACAAATAAATAAATAATTTTCTTAGCCATGAATTTAAAATAATTAAAAATATTCAAAAGAGGCAAAAAATAGCTGTATACATACACTTTCTATTCAAAACTTTTCTTAAAAAAAAAAAATAAAATAAACAATTGACATTTTAAACCTAATTATTGCAATGTACCTAGAACTATGCACGATATACTGTATATGTACGGTTGCCATTAGACCCATTAATAATTGTTAAAATGGTTAAAGTGAAAGTGGCCACCTCTGCTGCTTACACAAAGGCATTTTTTTAAAGAAACACTTGAAAGCAAACATAATTTTTTTGTCCAGTCTATTTGAAAGATAACCAATCGCATAAGTTGTTTACAGGCACGGTTGCTAATTTGTGGAAGGAAACAGCATCGCGCAAGCATTTAAACACTTGGGCGCATCACTAGTGCCCTTTTCAGTGTGTGAGAGTCTCTAAATGCATGTGATAATCGTCACATTCGGTATTGACATGCTTCCTTTTGCTTGCGCGAACAGTTGTTTTTATCAGTCGTGCTTCTCGATGGGCATCCCTTTTGTCAAACTTTGCTTTTAAAAAAACTACAATGAAAAAATATATATATATTTTTAACTAGCTAAAGTGGCTAGTGGGTCAGGTTGTTTAACCTGCCACATTGTAAATCTATCCATCAAGCCCTGGTTACAGTTCTTCAGCTTTTAACAGAAGAAAAAAAACTCTTAAAGCTTTAGAAATATGTAAGGGTAAATGAGGAGTGAAATTTCATTTTTGGGTTAATCAACCTTGTGATTTTTATACATATACATATATACACATACATATATATACACATAAAATCACATTTGTCAAGATATGTCAAAACTATTCTGCACAGCATCTTTTTTTGTCATTTTTGACAAGCTATTCCTGTAAGATAATCCTAGTTCTGAAATTTAACTGGTGAAATGATCAAATGATACAGTGCAGAGTTATGTACTGTATGTAATGTATGTGAAGCTTATTTCACCATACCCCTCTCTGCTTCTCTCTTCTTTAAGGCCCCACCCAGAGGAGGATGAGGGGGAGGAAGACAGGAGCTTGCAGCCAGCAGAGACTGCAGGCTGGGAGGACGCCATTGCTGTTATGGTGCGTGTATGTACTAGCTTTCTGCAGGTCACGCTTCATGCATTTAGAGTGCTGTGTAATCTTCTGTTTATGTGTGTGTGTGTTTGTATATACAGGCACGAGGTGCGCCAACGGTCCCTGAACTGCCTGCCGAGTCTTCTCTACGCTCATGTGTCAGTACGGCCAGCATGAAGGTCAAGAACGTCAAAAAGTAGGTGTTTATGTGCATTAAAGCGAAGGTTTATATGGAGTCCTTTCTCTGTCTTGTCTCTTTCAGACCCATGGGGGAGAATACTGATGAGCTCTTTTTGTATTGCAGACTGTCCCTCACCAAACGCCATTTTCCCAAGCTGGCAGAATGTGCCCACTTTCATTATGAGAATGTTGACTTTGGCTCCGTGCAGGTGAGGGTTTTGTGGTAAATGCAGTCCTGCCGAAGCTCATGATCACTCATGGTTGACGGGAATGTGTTAATTAGGCTCTTCTTGGCTGTGGTCTTGGTTTCACCGTTGGCAGATTATCCATCATGTTGAAATTAGGCCTTTGGTTTAGGTTACACGCAGGTCAGGTTTTTTTTTTTTTTTGCTTTCACACAAGATCTTCAGGCCAATTGAGTGGATATGGATGTCAATGTTCATCACCATACATTTATACTGTTTATACAAACTGTTACATTTATACACACTCTGCTTTTTCCCAAATAATAGCATTATCTAATCTATATACATTCACTGGCCACTTTATTACTATTTACTGTCAGGTACACCTGTCCAACTGCCTGTTAACGCACATTTCTAATCAGCCAATCACATGGCAACAACTCTGCATTTAGGCATGTAGACATGGTCAAGATGATCTTCTGCAGTTTAAACCAAACCTCAGAATGGGGAAGAAAGGTTATTTAAGTGACATAGAACATGGAATGGTTGTTCTTGCCAGACGGGCTTTATTTAATAAAAAGCACAGTAATATTTTACTTTAGATATTATTCATATAAATCCATTCACATGTCATTTATTTTTGTGACGGTAAAGCTGAATTTTCAGAATCATTACGCCAGTCTTCCAGTCACATAATCCTTCATGAGTCATTAACGTGACTGTAGGGTTCACAATTAGCATGCCTTCATACTATAAATATGGTAGCAATATAAAATATTTACTGTCAATTTCTTAAAAAAATAAAGAAAGAAGCATTAATGTTGATTTATATTTTTTACATTCCCCCAATTTGTTTAAATGTTTGTAATATACTTTTATATAACATTTTATAATATACTGTAAGTCATCTTCATCCATCGTTTACCATTTTATTTTTATTTTTATTTTTTGCTTTGTTTTTGCTACTGTGTCTTTAGGACTACTAACTTATGCTATTACAATTAACCAGCACAGGTCAGAAAAATACAGATAATATGTTAATGTGGGCATATGTGGTCATACTAACCATGATGATTGAGGACGTTGATATTGGGGTGGACTGGAAATGTAGATTTGCATTAGCTGTATGCAGCCATTAACATACACGGTGTATGTTTACTTGCATTTTATGAATCACCAAGGGCCATGGATTTGGCTAAAAAGTAATGTTTTGCTGAAGAAAAAAATACCACCTGTACATTCTGTATAGCCTGAAGGGGGCTATTAAAATGGGAAATCAAACTTTTTTGAGTGAAATATTCAAAGCTTGATGGTGAACATTTTGCTCACAAGCCACTGTGGCTAGTAGTTAGTGACTTAGCTTTTTACTAGTCACAATTTAATACAATATAAGGTAAGTGAAAGGGTTGAAGTCTAAAACAGAAGTGTAGACGGACCCTTACTAATGTTAAAATCTTTATTCATGAGAGATTTTTACCTTATTTTGTGTGATGACCATCTGCGGTCATTTTAAGAGCTAATACACAAATCCAATATACTGATACTGTATACCCATTTTGTCTTCTCAACTACTATTTCACTTGGAAAAACTCACTTTTTTGTGAATATTTTCACAAAGATGGGCATTTTTGACTGTCATCATTTTGGGTGTACAGAATTTGTCCCTGCATTCCAAAAAAGTTAGGAAAGAACATAAATAGTTTTTTGCGAGCTATCTAATGCTGTCTGTCTTCACACATTTCTTTTGCATCCTCTTGATGGTTTTAAATCATTTCATTGGATTCCATTAATGGTTAACTTTGATTTGATGCCATTTATGGATCATGGATCAACTGTGATCAATTACACCCCTATATATAGCCTACAGTATATAAAATTCAACCCACCAAAGTGGCTATTGGGTGTGACTGCGTTACATGCCACTGCTGAAATCCACACACATTTGGCATACTGGTGGATCTTCATGTCGAGACCTAGAACTAAATGTCTTTACTGAAAACACACTTTTAAAAGCTTTGTCATGAAAAAGTAATAGTTCTCAAATTATTGACATTTTTTGTTTTTCTTTTTTTGCTAGTGTGCCTTTATTAAGAATTAAGATTTATGCAAATGTGTCAAGATATGGTTGTACTGGTTAGAACTTAAATTGTATACAGGGTAGAATGCTGCATGCTTAACAAACAATATGCTAATGTAGTGATATGTAAATTTAGGCGGTCCTATGTTAATGCTCCTGGCCATTGTAAACAATGATGATTACGATGTCCGTGAACTGGAAATGGTGATTTGCATTAGTTTTATGTAAATATCAACGTACACAGACCTTTCAATGCCAGTCAGTTCACTTGTTTATGCTGTGTGAGGGCTAAAAACCTTGGTGGTGTTGTGCATATATGTTCTAGAGTGATTAAACATTATCAGAAAAGATGATTGGAGCTTTTAACTAAAAAAATGTGGTTTTAGTTTTCTTCTATGAATGGTCAGCCCTCATCTCTGTCTATCAAGATTTTTTTTTTTTTTAAATAATTTCAAAATGCAGCACTTTTTTGCATCCAGATTGTGTTGTTATGCTGACGGGTTCCAGTAGAGAGCAGCAGATATCATTCCCTATAAATATACAACAAGCCCCTCCTCAAGTTTTGCTGTATATACAGTATACTGCTCTAAAAGGTTGTTGGTTTGGATGGACCGTGAGCAGGGTATGACGTCACAGCTGACGAACAGGACGTTTGCCCTCGTGTTCCTCAGCTCTGTGCACGCCTTCATCTTCCTGTGTGCTGTAGCTCTCAAGGTCACGCAGGTCGACTCCTGTTCTGTTAGATCACATCCAGTCTCTGAGCACATCACCGGGCTGGAGGAGTCCAGAGGAATACAGATAATCTCCTATTCGAAATGTGAGAGTTAAGCAACAAAAGGAAATGATCTTTAGTGCAGCTTGTCTTTTGTTGATTTCTAAGCTCATGCACAATTTAGCTGGTGAATGATTTTATGCCAGTGCTCACATATCAGACTGCTGGAATTTTGCTCCATTGTGCCTTTTGTCTGTCTGGTGTAAATGTTAGGGGGAATCATGTATGAAAAGCATGGACACTAAATAGAAACTTTTTTAACTGAGGACAAAAGAAGTAAACTAAAACTAAAAGACTACTGTACATGGATTTAAGGACAGTAATTTTACATTTGTTACGTATTGCAATTATAGATTATAATTTACAGAGGACACCCATTAATATGCCTTTTTTAAGTGAATCTGTGTCTATATGCAGTTGAAGTCAAAATTATTAGTCAAATATTTCCCAAATAATGTTTAATAGAGCAAGGAATATTTCACAGTATTTACTACAGTATAATAGTTAATTCATCTGAATAATTTACCCATTTACCCACGCAACATAAATAGTTCACTATGTGTAAAAACAAAACAAAATAAAACTTTTGACAATAATCTTATTTTTTATTGGTTAAAGTTTAAAAAAATGTAAATAAAAGAAGAAATCCACAATTTTTTTCTTTTAATTTTATGCTATTCAGAAGCCATGTGCACCCACTGACAGGTAAAATCTGCTTCTCTCTCTTTCAAGTTCAAAGCCAGCGTGAATGCCAAAGCATTTTAGATATGTATATAAAATAGCCTATGTAATATAGTGTAATTACATTATCAAATTAATAAAATAATCAGGAAATGAGAAATAAATTATAGAAAAAGAAGTAAAAACAGACAACATACAGTTTATGTAAATAGGGCAAATGCGTTGATTAACTTTTGGTGTACAAATATTTTGCAGCCAATTTAGACCAGTCATTTCATCTTCTTCGAATATATAGTAAAGTTTTTCTGAGTCCCTCAGATACAAGAATTAACTATTTAATGTTCATCTCGCTCTTGGAACTGTGCGTGCAGAATCAGCTGCAAAGCCAAGCGGCTTAAGTAAAAAGGTAATACAAAAACGCATACGATTAATCGTAGCTTTAGAATGCAAAAGCCAAATCCTGGACATTTTAGGAGATTGAGAAACCTCGGCCGGAAAAAATTTTAAGGGTCAAAAAGGCACATCTCTGTGGGTCTGCAGAGCACGTGAGACTGTGGAAGTATTGACAGGTCTCGCACATAAAGAATGAAATGGGCAAAGGAGAGAGGATTTTCCACTAATGAATCGATCACGCATATTTGGTTTTTATTAGGCTGATACAAATATTATAAAAGGATGATAATAATAGTAAAAAAAAAAAAAAAGACATGTCACTAAATATACTTGGGTGGCCGTTAATGTACCTGGACAGCCTGCCCAAGTTAAGTCTATGTGTGGAAAGCTCTGCTCCTATTTGTTTTATTTTGGCTGGAATAAAGGCAGTTTTTAATTATTTAAAAAACATTTTAATGTCAATATTAATAGCACCTCTGATCAATATATATATATATATATATATATATATATATATATATATATATATATATATATATATATATATATATATATATATATATTTTTTTTTTTTTTTTTTTTTTTTTTTCCCCCGATTGTCTACAGAACACATTGAGTAATGAAGTTTGAACTGCGAGCTGGTTTTTTTTTTTTTTTTTTTCGTGCATTAATCTTGTCAATAATATTAGTCAGAAGGTCATGATTCACACTGATTAAATAATTATTTTGAATAGTTTTTATTTTACATTCTTCAGATGATACAAAACACAGATGTTTCAGCACTATGCCTTCCTCAGTATATGATACAATCCTCTAACTCTACCCTTTTATCCCACAGTCAATCACATTACGTCATTAGTTAGATGGCCACTCAATAATTAAAAACAATCTCATTTTCATTTCAATAAAATGTTATCAACCACACAATAAATATTTACCTTCATCTTTAAAAACGTTATTACACAGGAAAATAACATTATCATCATTCACTTATTCATGTCTACATCAATGCAAAGACATTCTGACTGTCCAAAACATTAAAAAATACATTTTCTGTACATCATTTGTATCATTACTCAAAATCCATGATTCACAATATTAGAGCTAAACAACAAACCCACAGGAAAAAAAAATCTTATGTTTAGAAATGGGTTAAAAAATCTTCTTTCTATTAAAATGAAATTAGGGAAAAATATACGGTGGGCTAATAATTCAGGAGGGTCAATAATTCTGACTTCAACTGTATATATGTGTCATGAATGTAAATATTACAATTTAACCTGATAATTTAATCTAATTTTAACTAAATTAGTTATGAAGATAGATTAAAGTGTGTATATATATATATATATATATATATATATATATATATAATTTTTTAAATGTTGTTTGATATAGACACTAAAATGTCTTTGACTTTGATGTCTATGAGAGATGAAATGTTGGAAAGATTCATGTTTTGCCCTCAGGTCATACACTGCACTGCTATTGCTCC